CTGCCGACGCCCGCACGCCTATCTGAGGATCGGCCGAATCCTCGTCCTGATTGCCGAACGTCAACACAAACAGTAGATGAGTAGCGAAGCGCAACCACAGCAGTTCACCCACCGCCACGGCGACGAAGCATAGTTCCCGAAGTCGGGCGGTGATCACCACAGCAGTTGAGCTCTCTGCGAAGTTGCTGTTGTGAGATTTTGAAAGAAATAATCATTCCGATAATAGAAATGAAAACCTTGCTCAAATCACAGTACCTTCCGTAAACAGTTTTACCAGTGAAAGAGGTGTAAAAGTCTAGTTTTTAATTAAAAAAAATGGTTTTAATATAAAGTCGCTTATAAATCATATTTATATTCGTGTGTTCATCACTTAAGAGTTTATTGCTAATTCTGCCAATGATTGTTGCGATTTCTTTGCCCAAATATATGGAGATATTCAATTGTTTTACTGAAAATACCTTTGGTATTCACAGCCCTCACCAGATGTATTCTTGATTCCGCGTAGCTCGCTTTTTAATATCTCGCTCAACGTTCGGCTTACATATTTTTGGAAGCTGATTGTTGACCATGACGTCAGATGTTGTGGTTGCAAGAGAGGGCGCTTTTCTCTAATGACCCTGAATTCATTCGCATAACAAACTGATATTGTGGCAGCTCAATTAAAGTCTAACCTGACAACTATGTTTAAGACACAAAATGCATTTGGGTACATCAAATAGCCCTATTTCTAAATTTGGGTACCTCGAGCTCCCTAAGCTCGAGTTCCATAGTTTTTTCCCGCTCTTTGGCTTAGTTAGGCTTGTTGAGCGTGGCCATCATGACGTGTAATCTCCAGTCAGCAAGTTCGAAGGTGTGACGGGGTCACACAGCACCTTGCGCTAGAGGAAGTTATCTTCCGAGAGTATACAAACTCTCAGTGAACGGCAGTTCACAGGTCCCCTCTTTAATTAAAGAGAGCGACGTGACCTAAATAAGGTAGATTGTAAACTGAGTATATTTATAGGTAGGTTAAGTTTGGGTTTAATACAAACTGTTAGTTACCTATAGAAATGCAATGTCATTTAACCAATGGTTGGCTTTGAACGACCTTGGTACCTTGTACCAAATATCTCGGAGTATACTCCTGAAGTGTGTAGTGTCACACTTCATGTAACCAGGGTACACTTAGGGCTACGTACCCCGTTACAGAAGGCGACAAGCATAATTCAGTTAATACTGGGTCGTTTTCACTGCGAAAAAAGTGAGAGGCAACAATTTCCCTTCCTCTTCCGCAGCAAACAGTCAGCACTCCCGCAATATTTGTTTAGTTTGTCAAGTGCTCTAAAAACGAATATCTATTGATCGTATCATTCCGGATTATGGTTCACTCATCTGGTGGTACTGTATCACCAAGAACCTCACGCGTTCGGGATAGATTAGCCAAATCGCATTTGGACACCTCTTCCAAAGTAGACTGTTAATAACATCAGCGCGTTGAACTAGGTTTTTTCCGTTAGATCGAGCAGCTCGACATCCGTCATGACTTCCACCGCGATTTATATACCCCACCCCACCCCTCCCCGGGTTATCCCAATATGACAATGATTAATAAAATGTAAGAAATAATATATCATTTTTACAGCTAGTGTTGCATTTAACATGCCATTTACCGATATGAAACTGATCTGTTGATTTTTTTTCTCAGGCGTGAGTTGAGCTTAAATGTGGCTACGTGCAGATAGAAAAAAGTCCCACAAAATTTATTCTAAATATTATTTAAGGATGCAATTTATACGTTGGTTCGAATTATTCCAGAGGCTGTTAGAAAATAAAATATGGATTGGGGTTGCGTGCAAATAATGAAAGAAAACGTGCTACAATATGATAAAAGACGCCCGATATGCGGCCGAATTATCGTTAGAATGAAAGGAAGCTGATGATAAACGATTACAGTACGTGTTTGCGTAGATTACATTTTTGTTTTACTCAGGTTTTCAGTTGAGGTCCAACAAATTTGGAGAGCTTAGATAAACCAATTTATAAAGGTTGCGTTTACTCTATTCAGTTGCACACCATTTCAGCACGTTTCGACACGATGTATGCCGTGCTCACGTGACTACAAGTACATGAAATTAACGCAACAATCTTGATGTTTTAATATGTGTCCAGCTAACTCAATCTGGGTTAAAATTCAAATAGGCGAAAAATACAATTGTTTGGTGTTAATAAATCTGTCTTCGATTAGATGAGCTGTGCAATGAATACAAGCGCTTGGCGCAGATGCAGAAGATTGCTCGAGAAGGTGTGCGAAGTCCAGCTAAAAGAAACACCACCTCGGCGCTCAGTGAATCATGGCTCGGCTCGGGACAGAAGCGACATCCTGCGCAAGAATATCAGGAAAGAGCAAGATGCTGGAAGGTGCTTGGTCCTCGACATGGATCTTCTGGAGCAGTGTCCAGATATATTTTTTTCTTAGCCCCTTCAGCATTGTGGACAAGGGAAGCGAGGACATCAATGCTTCCGGTCGTACGATTCACGATCTGTCATACGCGGAAGGAGCATCGATCAGCGATTGTACCGATCAAGACGGCGTTACCAAGTCTGATTACGTCCATTGCGATGTGGTAGAACGGGAGATCCTGAAAGCGAAGCAAGCGTTCCCGGGTGTACCAATCTATGTGATGGCGGGCGGTGTAGCTACAGCCTACCAGAATATTAGCATTCACAGCAACAGCGTCTACCTCTTTGCCGATATGACCGAGGAAGAGATCGCCCTGGGTAACGAGCTTCCACGCCTTTTGGATGGACAGGAAACGATACGTAGCAGAGCCACCGGCTCCAGATTCTTGTTCGGGCGATATTCGCTCTCCGTTTGCCCCAAACCAGCTCCACGACAGCCGGTAGCGATAATGCTGATCGACGTGCGAGCTCCGACATTGAACGTTGCAATGGCTTGTTGAGCAAGTACACAAGCCCAGCCCCGCCTTTTTAAGTTGTAGTAAAACCAGGTACCGGTGGCTTTATACCGAAGCTGGTCATGGCCTTTTCGAACTTAGCCGATTGTACTTCTCGATTTAAGTCCCGTCGCCGGCGTGCATTCTCATGCATCAGGTCCGCGGTTTGACTTGAGACTGCAGGCCCGGAATGTAGGGTCAGAAGAGGCTGTATAGCCATGGGTCACTGTATGGTCAACCCAGACTGAATAGTCAGAGGAGGCTGTATAGCCGGAGACTTCATTTGTTTCCACTCACTACCGCAGGTTCGGTTAAATCTGGATGACCGGGAAATCGGTACATTTTCGGCAGGTGAGAAGAGGATGTGATTAGCAAAGCGACGGTCTTCCGGAGAAATTTCTCGCTCGCGCGCCGGAATTTATTAAATGCATTCACGCGTCGATACGGATTAGCTAGCATAACGGTAATGTAATAGATGAACCCCATCGGTGGTCATAGGGTGGGGAACGTTCATTTTATTTCTAGCTAAGAGTATTCTTGCTGTGGGGTGGCTCAGCGAAGTGTACCTTCGAAATGGTATATGCTAGCCGAACAAGCGCACCATTCCATTCATTGTGTTTGCGGTACTCCAAGTTTAAAAATGACACTGCGGATACACGAACAGCGCCAAGGCATGGATGTCACGGACGTTTTCTGCCAAGTGGCTCAAAGATGTCGATGCAAAAGTCAGAACACAGCACCGCAAGTGCTTGCTGATCATCGGCAATGCAAGCGTTCATGAAGGCGACGACACTGATACAATTATAAATGTCAAAGTGGCGTTCCTACCGCCAAATACTACTAGCAAGTGACAGGCTCTTGACGCTGGTATAATTGCTGCGTTCAAGCAGCGTTACCGGCGTCGCTAGATCCAGCGCGCTCTTGATCAGCTTGAAGCTGACCCAGCGATGAACATGTCCAAGGCGATCAAGTTATACAAGTTTGACGCTCGCCAAGCGGTGGTATGGAGCATCGACTGCTGGAATTCCATGCCACCCTCGATATTTTTTTTTAAATATTACAAGTCTACTCGATGACTATGCTTGCGGATTCAGTGAGTCAGAGGAGGAAGGCTCCGTAATCGACGAGCTAGCTAAAATGCTATCGCGCCTACATGCTTCTGATCCTACACCGACGGACAGAATGCAACTGCCACTTTCCCACTGGTACAAAAGCGGTCAGATGACCACAGCACTTTTTTTACAGTAACGAGTTACCAAGAATTTTTGGCAAAGTTAGGGAGGCAGTTGTATTTAGCACTAAAAGTTGCTTTTAAGTGCTTTGTTAAAGGCACTCGTGACGGTGGCTGCCTCAATGGATTCCCAAGCTGTTATGGCACGCTTTATCGTAGCTAGGCGTTTTTCCTTAGCAGTCTTTGCTGTAGCATTCTCGAACAACCACAGAGCCTTGAGCTTTGCTTTCAAAGGCCCCATGATACCAACATCTAAGGGCTGGCAAACCGAGGTTGCATTCCTAGGTAGTGGCTGGAGCACAGACATAAGCTCGTCTGACACGATTGCCTTGGACTCACCCGAGACATGGCACTCTAAGTTATCTACGAGTAGTAGAGAAGAGCGTGTAACGTGCTGCTGCAGTAGTGAGCATAGGTAAAACTTCCATACGCGGGCATCCATCCACGCTTTAGTCTGAACAGTATACATATGTCCTAAAACCTATTACCGTAACCCCCGTCAGTTAGTAAATAACAAACATAAATATTAAGATAGAATAAATATGTACCGTCGGGGTATGTAGGCAGCTCTTCTCTCTCGATAATGCCGTTTTGCTCTCCACGCAAAATGAAGAGCAGTGGAAGCTTCACGCCATCCGCGCGGATAGTGCATACAGCCGTCAATCGAGCGGAATGCTTCTGTTGAGCTGTAATAGCTGAAGACTGACCTCTCTCGGATAGTATCTTGCCCGGCGGTGCGTCGAAGTAAATCCCAGTTTCGTCACAGTTAAAAACTTCGCTTGCAGCATAGCTATTGTACTTAGACTTAAAAAGTTTAGCGAAACTGTCCTGTACTTCTACCAAGTCTTCCAGTTTTTCCTATAAATAAAATATCAAAATGATCAAATTAGATCAGTTCCATACAATTTATAAGTCAAAGCACTACCTTTAAACCGTGCGGTGTGCGCTGCACGAAGCCATGCCGATAGGCAAAACGACTCTCGAATGTACGCGGCCATTAGAGATGCAGTAAGCGGCAGGGATTCGCGTCGTGTCTCCTTCATAAAGGTGACGAGCATAGCGCTAAACGGTATTATCTCGCGGCGACCTGGTGCCCGCGACAGGGTCTTCTCGCTGCCTTTAAACGCAAAGATATCGTCTTCGCTCTTCCTCCATGACGTTAAAGTCCATCGAGGGATTTTTTGAGACGTGGCAGTCTCGCGCTGACTTAAACCCTGTGTTGCTATAAGAGCATGTCGTTTCTTCTTCATTGTATAATGCATCCGACGCTGTTTAGGCTCCGCGTATACCTCGTCAAGTAGGTCTGCAATCGCCACGATTTCTGGTGGTGACGGAGGCTCAGGTGGGGGCTCCGACCGGCCTTCGGACTCGAACTCCGAGCTACACGTACCGCCTCCATTTTACCAAGTGACTGGTGCAGAACAACCACTGCAGTTCAGCTGTACAATGTGGCGTTTTAACTGTTTTGATTGGCTTATTTGGTAGATTTGCAAGTGGCAGCTATGACCTGCGCCCGTTTTACGTTGAATTTTAATGGCAGTTGCGTCGGTGTATGTCAGTGACAGAGCCGCTAAATTGGGGAACCGATATTTTATTCTTGCTGGAGGGTATTCCACGATCAGGTATTACTACCAAAGGGTTTATCTGTATCACGTTACTAGCCTCAATACCTTAAAAACTTTTTGAGTTTTTGAGGCTAGTAGCGTGATAGCAGCTCTTTCCAAACCGTAAAACAAAACGTTTGCGCCGCTCGCTGTAGAGCCACAAATTAGGTTTACGACAAAGTTTTCGGTTGTTTATTCCTTTAATTGATTCATTTGTAGCACGATTACGGTGCAGCACCAGATACGTGTACACTATTTTTTTAACCCGGTCAGCACATACCCAAGAGACTTGCTGTGGTACTTTCAAAAAGGAGGGTCAATGAGAGCAGTTATTTAACAGTAAATAAGAAAATCTCCGCCGAGCAATAGGCCGAGTAGCCTTTTTTTCGTTTCCATCCAACGTATTTCAGCGAATCTGAATTCTGAATGCACCGTTCAAAGTGAAACCTACACAGCGATCGGCCTAAACTAACATAAAGAGCCCCGCTTGCGGGGCTCTGCTCGGCTTGTTCTGTAAGATTCAGAAGGTGCACATTCTCCAGTTTGATCAAGAGCCACTGATTTTCCAGTGACTCTTGATTAAACCAGTGGCTCTTGATCAAACTCCAGTGGAATCGGCTTCTGTATTTTTAGCTTATTTTCCGAAGGATTTTCTACACGTAGCTTTAAGCGCTCTTTCCCTTCTTGGCGGGCTTGCAAACCGCGACTGGTGGGCACGGGGCTCGAATGCATTGAACTTGTTCGACCTGGCAAGTGTAGCCCGACGAACAGCGCACCGTGGCACAGGGGCTGAGGCAGTACAGAGAGTTGTCCACCGAGTTGATCTGGCACCTTTCGTTCTTGGGGCATTTCTTAGCGCAGACGGGCTCAGGTGGCGGATTCTCTATCGGTACGCACGTAGGAACCGGATTGCACGGCGCGGTGATGCATTGAACTTCTTGTAGCTTGCACGTCTCGCCCATGGCGCACGCAAGGTTGCACGCGGTGGTTTCTGGAACGGCTTCGGTGGTTGTAGTTGCTACGACCATCAATAACACGGTGAAAACGACAGCTACGCGCATCTGGCTTGGTCTTGGATGGAAGTCTTTGTATGGGCTTTCGAAGAAGATTGAGAAGTGAAAAGGCAAAAAGCACGTGCTGCAGGGAGAGACTTGCAGTCAGGGAGAGCGACGATGTTTCTCACCGTGAGAGTCAAGTGTAGTTTACAGTAAACAGCACAACGATTCAGCGCCGACAAGAAAGTTCGCACATATGTGGTCAGTCACTTCAACCTCTATCCTCTACCGCCAGTTTTCTAGTTGAAGTGATATTATCCAAATTTTAAAGCCCTAAACGACTTCTATAGGCATTAATGGATTGCATTCCATGCCTAATAAGTATCTTCGCCACGCTTCGCCACAGGTGGGCACGGCGCCTTAGTAATAATGCACGGCACTCTTTGGTACCTGCAGGTAGAGGGGGCAACGGCGCTCAGTGCACACCTTGTCATGTTTTCGCTGCCACCAAGCCCGTAGATGCAGCTTTCCTGGGAATCCCCACATACTCATAGTACCCCCGACGCACGTTTGAATCGGCGGACACGGAGCGCGGATGCAAGTCACCGTTTGCACACTTGTTTGACCTGGGTGGTACTGTAGTCAAGAGTACAGGCTTTCGTGACGTATCCAGGTGAACCCACACGATTAAGTGTTTTCCTTTCGACTTTTTAAAGCTGTTGTCGGAGAGAATGATGTCCACTCGCGTCGACTTAACGAAGATTCAATCTTCTTTAGACGCTTGATCATGCTCTTCATCTGCACGGGCTTGGCTGGCAAGGTCCAAGTGCTACATGTGTCGTGGGGCTGACTAGGGTTTGATTTCATCACTGCTAGCTGCTGCAGTACCAAGAGTACCATCGCGCTTTGTTGCATCAGCTCAGTTGTTATCCCCTGCAGCGTTACAGCCTGACAAGCAAGCTCAAACTGCTTCTCCTGGAATTCGTGAATGACCCGCTTGTGCGCCCGCTCATTCTTCTTCATCAGCTTCTCGCGGATAATCAGTACCTTGAGCACTTTTACGCTAGCGTCCAGCACCTCATCATATTTTTCGCGATGATGTCGCTTCTCTAGCGCCCACTTTGCTTGGTCATACTCAAACTGCTCGTGGTCGCAGGCTACTTGTTGTAGGACGTCTTGCATTCGACACTCAAGCAGTTGTAGCTTCTGATGGTACGTGTTTACTGTTTCGCTAGGTATCCCACTCTTGGGAGTCGGTCCTTGTTGGTGATTTTGTGCTTCACACTCCTCTAGCAGCATCAATAATCGAGTTTCGAGCTCATTTGCACGCTGTACTTGCTCCGTCAGTTCTACATTGCAATGTACAGCGCGGAGCTCTGGTGACTCTGCACCAGCCGCGAGATCCAAGAGTTGGGTCCGAAGTTTTTCGCCACTGCCCTCAGTCTCGGTGGCCACATCAGAAGATGCTATTTGAACATTTGTTACTGCTGCATCGGTCAGCTGAGATGATAGGTTTGCTATTTGCACTTGTAGAATTTCGACGATACAGTTGGCACTCTCTAGTTGCTGCCTCAAACTACTCGTGTGGTCTTCAAAGACCACTGGACAAACCGCAGGACGTTGTGTTAGAATCGGATCCTTCGAGGTAGATGTTTGCAAAGAACACACTCACTCTGCTGTAGGTTGGCCTCAAGCACCAGTCGTTCTTCTTTCAATCTGTGTGAGACCTCGCTAGCTTTCATCCGTGCGAGACATTCTTCTTCAAAACGTGTGAACTCTCCCGTCAGAGTCTGTTTCTCCGCGAGGTTCCGCTCTCTCCAAGACACCAACGCATCATCCCAGAGACCAACAAGCTCGTCCACTTTGTCTGGTGCTAGCTGTAGCAAGGGTGCATTGTTGTCTCTCTCGGGCGATACTCCTGTCGCCAATGCAGCTGTATACACTAGCACGCTAGCAGTCTCTTTATCCACAAAATCCGCAACGATGTCGGTGATATCGTGGATTGTGCGCGCTAGTGTCTCCCGAACCGCTCGATTTTCACGAGCCTGTCTCTCCACGTCTCGCTGCATCCAGTCGAGTGCCTTGCGCATATCGTTCTCCATTCTGATTCCTCTATCATGTACCTCCTCAACGGCTCTCGGTTTTGCCTCCCCTTTCGTGGCTGTAGCACAATACAAGCAAACGTATGTCAATTGCTGTACTTCTTCTTCACCTGGTCGAATCGCTCTTACGGGTCTGCAACATCGACCCCGATGCAAGCTCGTCTGCGTTATCCTGCTGCTGCGCTTCGACCACATCGTCACCGTCTTGTTCCGGCGTGTGCAGCACTGCCGGTGGTAGTTGCCACACCTTTCTGCTGGTACTCTCGCCGACCTCTCCCACTGACTGTCGCCTCTTTCTGGTGCTTCGAATCGCTGCTTGGAGCTGCTCGGCGGCTTGCTGAAGGCGCTGGGAGACCACGGGATCGGTTCGCATCGTTCAGTTTTGTTTTTGCAATGATGCAAATTTTGCATTGCAATTTGCAGTTTGTAAAGGACACTTCGAGCACGGCAGTTTCTGGAGCTGCTCGCTGATTGGTATTTACGTTGAAGCGATTTACCTCCTATACTCGATATAATCCAGTATAACCCACTTTAAAATTGATATACGCTGGCTTCTCAATTGGACCCATTTCAGTACTAAACGGCGAAACGATGCCGTCGGAGCTACTCGAGCGCGTGGAGAAATGGGCCGCCGAGACGCCCAGCAAGGTACGTTATAGCCGCCTACTAGCTAGTTCGATAGCCAAGTGTTTGATCTATCACTGTGCGAGTTTATGGGGCGCAACGTCTTCATCCTCTCTGATTATTTCCTTTCGTATTTGATACTAACCTGCGTGTTTCGCTTTGTGTGTGTGTGTGTGTTTTTTCTTTGCTGTAGACGATGCTGTCGTTTGCAGACGATAAAGGCGCTGTGACAGCCTCCCTCACCTGCGCGGTATGCCGCTCGCCGTGGTCTTAAAGTCTCCTACACGTAGAATACGTGATATGATGCTCATTACTGATACTTTTACGTATTCGGCAACCTTAGGAGCTCAACAGGCGCGTGCAGAACCTCGCGTGGCTTCTACTGTCCTCAACGCAGCAACACAGCAGAGGGTTTGTTCTGGGTGCCACTAGTGCTGCTATAAAAAATGACTGAACGTTTGTATTGTTGTTGGTTGGTACAGACTGGGGCTGAGTCAAGGAGACCGAGTGTTGCTGGTGTATCCTCCAGGTTTGGACTTTATCGTAGCCTTTCTGGCATGTCTGAAAGCCGGCGTGGTGGCAGTACCCGTGTACCCGCCGGACCCCCGCAAGATGAAGAAAGACATCAGTATGTTTGTGTCAGTGACACAGAACTGTCAGGCCAAGACGGCACTGACTTGCTCAATGTACTTCAACGTCAAGAAGATAGCGGCGATCAAAGACAAGTGCACTTTCTCTGGTGCTGCTCAGTGGCCAGAGCATTTATCCTGGGTCGTAACGGACGATCTGGTCGACACCAAAGGGATTGACCCAACCAAGCACTGGCTCACCCAGTCACCTTCCACCGACAGCACAGCATTTCTTCAGTATACGTCGGGGTCGACCTCAGCTCCCAAGGGAGTGGTGCTCTCGCATGGAAACCTGAACCACAACTTGCGCACTATCAGCTCAGCGCTCCACGCTGGACGAGATACGGTGGTGGTGTCATGGCTGCCGCAATACCACGATATGGGTCTTATAGGCGCTTACCTAGGCACCATCTTCAATGGTGGAACGGGTGTGTATCTGTCCCCGTTCAGCTTTATACGCGACCCATGTCTGTGGCTCCGACTGGTCTCCAAGCACCGTGCCACACACCTCCAGGCTCCGAACTTTGCCTATTCGCTTCTTGCAAGGAAGAGCGACCGACTTACTGTTGGTCTGGCCAGTGGGCAACAAGTGGACCTCTCCAGTGTGCGGCACATGATTAATGGTGCTGAGCCTATTCAAGGTGAAGCCATGGACAACTTCTACCGCGCTTTCTCTCCTTTTGGCCTGCCTGAAGGTGTCGTGAAGCCTACGTATGGTCTGGCAGAGCACACGGTGTACGTCTGCGGTGGCGGACAGCAAAGACTGTGGGTTGACAAGCAAGAATTGGAGAGTAACCGCGTCTTCCGAGTGGTGGAGAAGACCAACACCTCTGGTCTGGTGAAAGAGATGATCGGCTGTGGTGTGCCATCCAGGAAGGACTACGGCATTGACGTCTGCATTGCCGATGCAGAAACGGGGGAGGAAAAGCCTGAAGGAGAGACTGGCGAGATCTGGATCTCAAGCGCTTCGAAAGCTCAAGGCTACTATGGTGACGAGATGAGCGAGTTGTCAGTAGAGATCTTCCAGGCTAAGGTGGTCGGAGATACTGAGGGCAAAACGTTCTTGAAGACGGGTGATTTGGGGGTGATTTACAACCAGGAGCTGTTTATCTGTGGTCGCATGAAGGACCTGGTGATTATTCGAGGTCGTAACCATTACCCACAGGACCTGGAAGCCACCGCAGAGACCCACGAAGAATTACGTCCAGGTTGCTGTGCGGCCTTTTCATATGTGGCCGATGGAAATGCTGACGATGAACAGCTGGCAGTAGTGGCGGAGCTGCGTGATCCTGCGATGACCAGCAAGGCAAGTCTGTGTGGAAAGATCCGCAGTGCCATCGCACGCGAACACGGCGTCAAAGTGACGCTGGTCGTGTTATTGGCGCCTCGCTCCATCCCGAAGACGACGAGTGGGAAAATCTCGCGATCACGATGCAAGAAAGCGCTCGAGGAGAAGACGCTGAAGGAGCTTTATCGTAATGAAGATATGATCGCTGAGATCCCAGTCGAGGATGGCGGGGGCGATGAAGCCGTGGCAGGAGAGACGATGAATCGAAACGTTAACGGTCCTCGCGTCGCCCCTACCCACAGTGGCGCTACATCGAACCTACCGTCGATAATCACGGGCGTGCCGCCTGACCAAGTCCACGCATTCTTGGTCGAAGAACTCGCCCGTACTCTTGGCGTAGAAACAGCACAAATTAACGACGACACGCCGCTACAGGAACTTGGCCTCGACTCGATGGCGCTGACCCAACTCCAAGGTGTCATTGCGCAGAGGTATCAAGTGCATGTGGAGGAAGGGCTGCTATATGGCGAGACGACTACACTTGCGAGTCTCCACGCTGGCCTTTGCGGTGGGGCGTCTAGTAACAGGACAGGAGGTGATTCCGCCCATGCCCCGAAGCAAAAACTCTTCTGTGGATGCATCGCGTGCTGAGGAAGGGTGGAGTGCAGGGTAATACAGATACATAACGTTGATTTTACAGCACGTGTAGCTGGTGAAGACGAAAAGATTTTAAACGTGTAGAGCAGACAAATGTGTTTGAGATCTCCTACTTCAGACCCAATATTTTTGAAGTTGTATTGTTGCAAAATGCACAAGGTACCGACGCATCTCTATCACGTATTATTTAAACAAAACAATTTAGTTATCAAGTTCTTCTTCGGGATGTCGTGACGCGTATCCACAGCATGGCGCACTACGGGCACTTCTTCCAGCAACCGTCGTAGCAGCTCCCAAACAGGTTCACTCCACAACCGAAAGCTTGTAGGCGTATGAAATGGCAACGCGCTTGAGCTTCTTGGGAGGCTTGCCAGTGCCAGAAATACGGGTTCTCCCTTTCCGTTGGCCGAGCGTGAGGGGAGTGCGCGCCATTGCAAATTTCTGGGTGGATAGTTACAGTTTAGCATGTTTTTTGTACTCTGAATTAGGAGATCTAGACTTGTGCGCTGTTCCATTCTCGATATGTGATTGGTTGGAGGGCAGTCTGAATGAGGAGATCACTCTGAAGTAGGAGATCTCAAATACGGTATTACAAGAGAGGCACTTTGACGGGCAAAAATGCAGAGATCCGAGTAACAACGACGGAGATTTGGACGGCTCAGTCGATGTACTCGATAGAAGCCGATGATGGCGGCAGCGCGAGCGTTCCTTTGTCCTCGACACTCTCCGGTGGAGACATCTGGTTAAGGTAACGTTGCTGCTGCGCCGGGTGCACCTGTCCTCCGTATACTTGCTGCTGCTCCATGATCTTCTTGCCTTCAATAAACATCGAGCGTAGCAATGCCTGCTGAGCAGCAATCTGCTCCTCCATTTTCGTGAACGACGTCGGTAGCGGCGTAATGTTCTGCACCTCGTCGGGCTCCTCCAGCAGCACAACAGCGTCACCTGCAATGGGGGTCCTTGCGGCTCTTGATGTCCGAGCTGCTGCGGTCGCTCTGCGAACTGATGCTGGTAGAGCCGCCCGAGGCGTCCGAATTGTGCCGTCGTCGGTCTCCGGATGCTTGCCGCGCGGTGCGAGGAGCACCGATATCCATATTTCTACTGCTTCCTACAGACGTAAGCGTAACCAGCGACTGCTCTTTCGCTCCATCTGCCGGCTTCTCTCTGTTGATAGCCGAAAGAACCTTGGTAGACCAACCAGCGTACGAAATGCCCGATTTTTCTCCGCTTGTACCACTGGCTCCTCCTATTGAGCTCGTCGACGAAGATGAAGACGCAAACGAGTGGTTCTGCTGCGGGTTGAGTTCTCTATCGGCCGAGTGATCAGACACGGAGCCACGAGCAGGTGGCACCTGACCGTAAAACACCTCGCTGGCTCGTGAAGCATAGGACGACGGCACATTGGCTTCGTACGCCTCTTCCGGGGCGAGATCGATCCCTGCACTTTTGGCTGCAAGCGCGCTACGACGCTCCTGTCGAGCCTTGTTTATACATTTGAGGCAGAACTTTTCTACGCTGACGATGAAGCTGTTGCCTGTCTCCGGGAGCATTCCTGGCGGGAGCTTGCTGGACTGGATGCCAAGCTCGATGGTGCAAGCCCCGCACATGATTTCAGCGCACACGCGACAGTGGTGACGCGACCGCAACAGGTTGAAGCTCTTGAAGCACACGGAGCACGCCGGACGTTCGTTGTTCGGCACCCACGCTTTGTCTGTAATCATACGACCACGCACGAGGAACTTTGCGTCTGCGGCCGTGGCGTGGTGAAGGGCAACCGTGAATAATGTCGACACGACGCGGTTCGCGAACCAGCTGGGAGTATTGCGATTACCATCGAACCGGTCTTCCGAGAACATCGACACGTCCACCTTGCCGCTGGATGGGCCCATACTACGGAATAGCCAGACCCACGTGCCGGATGTGCGTGCGAATCCAAAGTTGCGCTCGTTCCCGTCGCAATCTGCCATGCTAACGCTCTGCTGGACCTTGACAAGCACTTTCTGTCCCTTGGCATCCTCCATCGTCTTCGAATACTCGACGACCAGCGTGTCTCGGCAGCTGAACACCGAGTCAACAGAGCTCTGGAAGGCGAGCCATTTGACGCCAAGGAACTGGAACGGGTCGTCATTTGTCGCCTTCTCGCGCACCTGCAGCACCGCCGAATCAAGGAAACTCTCTTGGTAGCAGTGAGCCATGTAGGCGCGCTGATCTTCAGTTGTGGCACAGTTAACGGCGTACTCGAGCTCTTCCAGCGACGTGTCGAGCTTGGCACGCAGCATCGCTTTTCTCTGCAGGTTGCTGGCGTCCGCTGCTTCTTTTTGGCGGTAGATGACGCAGTTTTTCTTCTCGAGGTGCGGTTTCCAGCTCTGGTTGCGGTACTGAGGACTCAGACTGGGGTTGTCCAGCCACGTGGCCGGCGAGTTGATGTAAGTCTCGGCGATACTCTGGAGCTTGGTCTTGAACGCCTCGAACTGCTCGGTCGACACGTTTACGGTGGGTAAGTGCTCAGTGTCCAGCGGGAAGCGGAAACTGTCGCCCGAGTCCTTAATGCGGATGACGCGGCCAGTTCTCATCCACCCGGCGCCGCCGCGCGGCTGCTGCTCGTCGCCCTGTCCGGATCTGAAGCCGATGCCTACGCCCATAGGAACGGCCAGACCAGAGTTGCTGCCGGTGGAGCTGTGGCTGCCCATACTTCCGCTAGTACCGGCGTACGGGGCGCCTAGTGACGTAGTAATGCCTGAACTCTGGGACGAGATGGGCTGTAGGCCTCCTGGCGGCTGGAAGGCTGCGAACGTCGTGCCGCTGTTGCGCTGGCCGCGAGGCTGGTTCAGGAGCGACGAGCTGGAGCCATTACTGGCCACGGACGCACTTGCAGTGTGCTGCAAGGACGCGTACGGCTCGCCCATACTGTGCGAGCTGCCGACGCTTGAGAGCACGGGCCCACCGCCCAGCCGAGAGGCCGTGGGGCGCTTGGTCGTCTTGGCGCCCGGCACTTGGAACACCGTGAAGCCCACGCCGTTGCTCATGTCTTGGGCGGTCTGCTGTCTATGTAGGTGGCTGTGCGTGTATGGGGGCTCCTGTCGCGCTGTCTTTTGTGAACGAGCAGGCGAGGCGACTGAGTGGAGTTTCGGTCAGGAAGTGGCAGAGGGGAGCGGTGGTCAGAACAGTCACGCGTAGGACCAAAACACTGTCATCAATAATAGAACTAATTTAATTAGAAATCACAGGCTATCAAACAATACCCACATACCACTCTGTTCCATCTCAAATCTAACACTTCTCCTTTGCTGACATATTTATTAAACTAATGGTGTGATTTAGCTAAACGAGCCTACTACGGAAAGCCCTGCCTTAGCTCTATAAAGCAGTATTTTTTTGGTAGATCATAGTCAAACAGCAACGAAGTACAGAGCAAAAGAGCGTCATTCGTTTTGACGGGGTGGACGTCTGGTTTCGCAGTGGGCTTCCCAGTGTTGGAAAATTGCTGAGGTTTTCAAAAGAGATCGATTTTGCTACGGTCTTACAAGATGTGAAAATAGTTCTTCAAAAGCTGCTGTCTGTGCCGCGTTTGCCTGAAAAACGCTTTTGACCAATTAATTGTACATCTATGTATTTACAATCTGACAAATTTTAGATCTCGCAAAAGGTGAAAATAAATGGGAGTGACGTCGTGGCCCACCTCGTGCACATGGGACAGTGCTGGAGGGCTTCCGGCTTGCGGGTATACCTCGTGTAGCGTATACTTTCCCCCCCACTCATTTTTGCAGCGGGGGCTAATCAGCAGCAGCCAGGAAGCCATGCCGCCCGACCTGCGCGTCAAAGCGGCGGTGCGACCGCCGCGCCACGGAGGAGGGGCGAGTGATAGTGAAGAGGGGGTCGACAGCGACGAGGAGTGGTTCGACTCGTCAGCGGAGTCGTCGGGTACCGGCAGCTCCACGTCCGAGCAGCGTCGATCGGATGTTTCTGACAGTCTCCAGACAATCCAGAGCGGTGAGCAGCCAGTGGTGATAGCTCCACCACTCGAGAAGAAAGACTTTAATTACTGGGGCGCCTTACACGCGTATCTAAACGTCTATTCAGCCGAGACATACCAGGTAACGTTTGATGCACTGCATATGGTAGCAGGAGTCGTATCGCATTATCTAACTGGTTTGTGCGTACAATTGCTGAGTACAGAGCTTCCGCGTTCGCACTAACAACAAGGTCGTGACGAGAAATAAGAAGATTCGAGACTCCGGGTCTACGAAGCCGCTTGTGCCCGAGGGGTGGACTCATTATTCGAAGACTTTCGTCTGCACCCACGCAGGGAAGTACAAGCCGCGTGGACAAGTCAAGAGAAAGCGGCAAGAGTCTAGAGCTTTCGAGTGTGACGCGCAGGTGTGTGACGCTCAGTCGGGCTCAGTCGGGCTCAGTTGGGCTCAGTTGGGCTCAGTTGGGCTCGGATGGACTGAAATGGATTTGAATGGTGCTGTTGGTTGGCCATGCATGTGCTCACGTACAATTGTATCGCTAGGTAGATCAATGCCGGCGTACAAGTGACCGACTCGGCTGCAGCAGTTCCCACTTTTGTCCTGCGAATTACTGTTGCCCGTTTGGAGCATAACCATCCGCTCTCCAGACATACTTTCGATCATTATCCACACAACCGGACAGCTATTGAGTCTGAGCTGGCCGGGACTGTTAGCGAGCTTGTCAAAGCCGGAGCCAAGAAGAAACGCATCCTGCAGTTCATCCACGAGAATTCTAGCTGCTACCCAACGAGCCAGGACGTACACAATCTGGTGCGCAAGCTATAAAAACAGACCCATACAGCTCAGACGTCTGCAAAGCGATTGAAGCAATGGATGACTGAGTTCAAGCATGGCGAGTACAGTACCATCCCCAAGGTAGCTGGTGGTCTTGAGCTCGAAGACGGCTTGGGTGATACTGGTGGCGTCAGTCACCAGACTAGAGACAGCGAAGTAGTGACAGAGGCGATGGGAGTGGTGCAAGTTATCACGTCTAGACTAGAGGATACTATGAGCCAAAGTGTGTCGTCTGCTTCTTACGTGGAGAGCACTCAAGTATGCCCAGACCAGTCCGGCTCAGTTGGGAGCGAGACGGGCACAGATGGAGGTGAGGTGGTTTCATTTGGGAACGAGACGGGTGCAACGGGTGGTGAGCTGGTCTCAGATGAGAACGAGACGGGCACACATGGTGACGAGTTAGTTTCAGTTGGGAACGAGACGAGCGCAGCTGGTGGTGAGTTGGAGGTGGAGACATCTCACGAAAATGACGACCATAGCGCTATGCTTGCTTCAGCCAAGTTAACCGATGATTTTCAGATCGTGAGTCCCCCAAAATCCAAGGGACGTCCAAAACAAAAGCCACGGGCTGTTACAGCAAAGTGGAATCAAGCGATAGTAATGGTAGAGGAAGACTTGGAAATGCACGAACGCCAAATGAGTCTACTGACAGTTTATGAACTACTGGACGGCGATCCCATTTACAAGATGACACACGAGAAGCTGCTGCAGCTCAAGGAGTTCCTGTTCGCCACGAAGCCGAAGCCTCCCATCGCCCACGAGATAGCGAAGCTCCTCCCCCCCACAAAACCACTGATGCGACCAGAAGAAGTGATGCGAATCTTCCCCATTAAATTAATTAACAAATGTACCTCCAAGGTCACGGCCTACCAAGCAAAAAACCCGGGAACGTTGGAAATGCAGCTGGCGCTGGAGATTGTTGGCGCTGGAGTGTTCGCGAACTCTACGGTATCGCTCATGAGAAAGTGGCACACCGCAGTAAAATTCGTCAAGAAAATCAAAAGAGCTATAACCTGGATTGATCGATTAGACTTCGCGCAACACGGGAATTCTAGCTTCTACGTCGAGGAGAACACCACTATACCTAAGCTGTTGAAAGATTTGCCAATTCTGTCGAACGAGTATGCAGACTTGGTGGACCTGGCTTCGAAGGACACCCTTAGCGCCCAAGTCATGCAGATGATTCTACACAAACTGTTTGGTGCGGATCCTAGTGCTCTAGTGATCGACCCGTCTAACATGGGGATTTCAAATGGAGCTTTAACGACAGACATCAGGTATTTTAAACTGGCGTTGGCTGGAGTAACGAAGAAGATGAAAGTGCTGTTTCCAATCAACTGCAACAACAACCACTGGTGCGCTGTGCTAATGGATTTGGAGAAGGGCAGAGTGTACGTCTACGACTCGATGGCGTCCTCCTACATGATCGGTGTCCGTGCCGTGGCACAGAAGATGATCATGATGCTGCCAGACGGAGTCAGACCTAGTGCTCGCTTGGTGACTCACGACCCTGAACTTGGCGTTCAGTGCGACAGCTATAATTGCGGTGTGTATGTCTTGCTGGTATTTGAGATGTTCTGTGGGTCAGAGCCGCTCGGCCACCTCGACAAAAAGACTCTGCAATGCATGCGCTACCGCTACTTGCGCATGTGTATAGAAGAACAAGGAAGTAGCAGTAGCTAAGTCACTGAACTTGTTGCATCGAACTATGTTTGTCAAGTTATATGCTTGATAATGTCTTTAGTAACTGAAGGGGATAACCTGCTCAGCAGAACGCTTCTATCTCTGCGGACTCTGGTACTGTCACTCAGCTCGTTGCATCGAGCTGTGTTTTGTTGAGTTATATGCTTGACAATGTCTTATGTAATTGAAGGGAATAACCTGCTCAGCAGAATGCTTCTATCTCTGCGGACTCTGGTACTGCCGATGTCGATCCACTTCGGCTCTTTGGCATCTTTCGGATATACGTGTATAGTGGTTAAGTTTTAGGCCGGCTCTTTCGATTTGGGTGCTTTGCGCGTTTCGCCATCAGTGCAGATCTCGTAATGTAACCCAAATTGGTGTTTGCAACACTAGATCTTTACCTTCACCAGGTTTTAATAATAACGCTGGGGCGCTCGTGTGAGACAAAAACACAGGAGTTAAACTTGAGCATCCAGAAAATAATTGTGATGCATTCGTTGCGTCTTCTACTTGTGCATATTGCCCATGAATGGCGACTTTACGGCGTCGCCGCGCCCGCGACGCAACTCGCGCTGCTCGGCTGCATACATTTTCGCCACTGGCAGGTGGATCAACCGCTTGTACTGCGTATGGAAGTCAGGCACGGCCGACAATGAATTAGTTGATCGTCTACCTAAACAGGGGCTACTCATGTTCAACAAAACTCGAAAAAGAGATAGTCATCTTACCGCCAGTGTGCCAAAGACCATCAGCACGAAGCCTAGAAGCTCGAGCCTGCCAGAGAGAGCGAGAGAGAGATTGAAGTTAGAATTGGGAAGCGCCAAAGCGAAAGAAGCACAGGATAAACCAACCAGCTGTAGGCCGTCCACTCCTCGCCTGGCGACGCCGAACCTTGCCACTGCACCACATAGTAGACAAAGAGGCTGAGCATCCAGACACCGAGCGTGCGTAGCGTCTACAAATTGAAACCCAGACAGAAGCGGCAAAAATCGTTAGCGAACTAGAAGACGAGAAGTGGTTTCATTCCGATGAACACCAGCCAAAACACGAGTGGACAAACCTCGGTAATACTGCGCATGACGGCAGACAAGTGCTTGGTGACGTAGTTTCCAGTGACATTGAGCGTGCCCACAGCCACGATGTAGGCCAGAATGAGCATTATGAGGGCGGGCGAGTTCTTCACCTGCACAAACGAATCCACAAAGTCTTCGTGCCATGTGGTTGCGAAAGCCGAACCCGTTGCAGGCGAAAGCGTGAGGATCGGCACCAGAATTACATAGAAGACCAGACCCCAGAGTCCCTCGAAGCCCACAAGCAGCATCGGGCTCACGTTAAGCGCCAACATCATGTGCTCCTCGACCACAATCTGCAGCGCGCACAGAATCTGCGCTGCAATGACAAAAAACAGCCCCAGCACCGCGTTAAATGCGTTGCCGTTATCTGTAGCCGTGGAATTTGAGTGGTGCCCCACGCCGGCATACCCCACGAGTGCAACTGCGAGCATGACGATCCAGATACTCACGTAGTGGTATCCGTACAGCTTCTTGCCCATGAGTCGCACCGAGAAGAACGCGCTGAAGATGATGATTGAGCCTCTGGCCATCTGAAACACTGATGATGAAATCCACAACAGCCCGACATTGCACAGCACGGTCTGCAGCAGGTCCAGCAGCGATGGAAGTGCAATCGCCGCCATCGTACGTAGAGACACTCGTCCGTGCTGGTCTCCCCCTCCTCCCAGCAGCCTTGGAGCCAGGAGTGGTGACTCTTCATTAACGTCTTCACTGCTATGCGGTCGATACTTGCGCTTAAGCGCTTCTACCTTGCTCTCGGCCTCGGCATGGCCCGCGTACTTGCGTTTGATGGCTGACATCTCCTCCTCGGACGGCGCAGTAGCCACATAGCGTCGTCCGTCCTTGTACATCCTCAACACCGGTGTCTCCAGGTACTCACGGTGCTGCGAGCACTTGCGCATGTACAAGAAAGCCAGACATAATGTCATGGCCACCTTCATCTGCAGCACGCCGAACCAGGGCTTGGCGAAGGGACACAACGTCGTCTCCTCTCCGGTCTGTGGGTCCACACAAGTTGCCGTGCCATGCGAGCGCACCGCATACTCAGTTTTCATGATAACCGTGCTGAAGGTGCCAGAAATCAGCATAGCGATAGCCGACAGAGCGCCCTCGCGCTGAAGATGCTCGTGCATTTTGCTTGAGCAGGGAAGGTGGCAGATATTACAGCTTGGCAATCATTGGGCGGAGAAGGGGCACCAAATGAGCTCTTCTATTGGCAAAAAAATCTCATCGACGGAAACCCTATTTATAATTGCAAACATTTTTGCACATGTATATTGGCCGAGGGTATCCATATCATGGATACGTCAGATAATGGCTGCAAGCTACTTGGCTCCATGCACTCACTTTATCATCTACCGCGTTCTCTAAGGCATTTGTCTTGGTAAGGAAACCACGGCCACCGCCACCACCGACTCGCTCGTCGATGTGCTGTTCTTCCCGGACCCTGCGATGCCTTGCAAAAACTTCCACTCGGGTGAAGGGTGCACACGCAAGAACTGCAAGAAAATTCACGACCAGGGCAGCTCGCTCTTAACGATGCTAGGATTCCTCAAAGGCGCCACGAAAGCCATGGACATTTGCGTCTTCACTATCACTTGTGACGAAGTACACGATTGCTCGTACAAATGGATTGTGATAAGTCCTGACCACCGTTTTTATTTGCAGATTGCAGACGCCGTGCTGGAATCTTTCGACCGAGGCGTTAAAGTCCGTATCATAACGGACGACGGCCAGGCGAAGGGCAAAGGTTCCGACATTCAAAAGTTCATCGATGTGGTACGAGAAGTCAGGCGACACAATTATACAGCTACAACGTCTAACTCGTGCAAATGGCATTGTCGGCAAATCGGGAATCCCTGTGCGTGACGACAATGCGCGGACCTACATGCATCACAAGGTGGGCTGCCTGTGCTACTCATGTCTTAAACTGCTGTACTCATTTGTGCTGTCGTTGCCGTCAAGTTCTGTATCATTGATAAGAAGATTTTGCTGAACGGTACGTTGTTGCCTATTTTACACAGACGGTAATGTGTCACTGACAGTGCTGCTATTAATATTAAATTGTTGCAAGGCTCTTTCAATTGGAGTCGTCAGGCTGTTGTGGGCAACAACGAAAACCTCGTCATTCACAAGGACGGACCCATCGTCGGTATGCCTCGTGAGGGTGTAACAATCGATCTTGCTTCTAACTTTGATTACACCGCTCACCCTGCAGACCGCTTTGATAAACACTTTGATCAGCTTTGGAAGAAGTACGAGCGCTAGGAGGTCTTCATTATCAACGGTACATAGGTCACCGGCACGGCAAGGAGGAACGCCTGCTTCACATTCTTGCCGACGCTGATCCTATAATGTAGTTAACGTTACTGTAAATCAAAACATACTTCTTTTCACCAAGTTAAATGCATGTCTTCAACTTGCAAGTAAACCGCTCATCGCCGCTGCTGCTGCGACTCCATTACCGCCTTGAGGAAGGCCAAATTCTTCTCGTTCTCAATCCGTACCAGCTCCAGTTTCTCCTTCCTGTCCGCTTCGCGTTGCTCGCGTCTTTCCCTTCGATCCTCTTCTCTCGCCTGGCGTCGTTCCTCCATCTTCGTTGCCAACGCCTCCTTCCGGAACTCGAGCTCTTCCCTCCTCAGCTGAAGCTCTTGTTGCCTACACTCCAGTGTCTGAGCCATCACGTCACGGACGGATACCAGTACACGCTCCAGGTTGTCCTGACAGTCACCGCCGCGCGGGCGCTTGCCTAGGACGGGGCGACGCTCCGACACGGCCGCCTCACTCTCCTCCTTCTCTCCGTCTTCGCCCCGTTTCCGAGTCTGATTCAGCTGCTGATGATCCGTCATCGCCTCGTTCAGTTCCTGGCGCGACACCGTCGGGGGTGCCGAATAATCGGCCCGGAGGCCAAGGCGCACCTCTGGCGGCATGTCCGAGCAGCTAAGCGCATGACGAAGCAGGTTCGCTGGACGCGCGTTACACACCACCGAGCGACAGTGCAGGCACGCAACATCCGGGCTGCGTTTATCTGCATCCGCGGGCACCGTCGTCACGAACTCCTTCCAAATGGGTAGCAGCGGACGTCCCATGCTTCTTTCCCTGTTGTTTCAATCTTTGCTGGAAAGGTACCACTACACGTACCTCCTCAAAAACCCTAAAAATCTAAAATGTAAAAACTCCTACCTGGATAGGGTATTGGCATTTAATTAAACTCCTAAGATTTTATATCCAGGATAAACTTAAGTATGACTCTGGAGTGATACTACTACTACTACTTCTCTATTAGTAGTAGTATCACTAACTTTATCACAGTATGATAGTATTATCAAAGAACTATTTTTTTCAGGAACCCTGACTTAGCTGCCAGAGGTCTAGCTGGGAAGAACGTTTTGGATACATGCCGCGTTATATATCTAAAACAGTGGACTACCTGCAGACCGCAGGCTGCGTTATCCCGCTTATATTTGTACAGGGGATGTTTTGCCGGGTACATATTCGCCGCTAGGTCGTCCAAGCTTGTTAGAATGTAGCGGCAAGGCTGCAGTCGGCCAAAGCACAGTTGGAGTCGCACCATAACTTTGCGTTATATTGTGTGGTGTGCACAATAATGCTGAGGATTTTGTTCTCCACATTCGATGAGTTCTGCGGCGAAAAACTTCATATCAGCAAGTGTTGTCTCATTTATGTTCTGCTGTAGGGGTTATGAGGATAATGTGAAGGTAGAGTCATTTGCGAAACGTCTCTATTATGTAGTGTAGTGATTTCTCCAGAGTTGCGGATAATCACTCGTCAACTAAGAGCGGCAACATCGAAGATGCTCAAGTGACGAACACGCGATCACCTAATGCACGGTGACGCCAAGGTGCAAGAGACTCGTCGGTGTCACTACCGAACACTCAGCGGATATTGGATATGGTCCAGATGTCATTCAATCCAGGCTGTCCTTATTATTAATAATGTTTTCGAATTCGCATTCAGCGACCAAGAACTGACCATCTACGGTACGAACCATCGGTGGTGATGAGCTCTTGAAGGCACGGTCGCCGTCTGGAAAAGGGCGCGAGCTGTTAAAGATACGCATGCGCCGCTGCAGACGATGCTCGGCGTGCAAGAAGATCCATAACGGATCAGAGCTCACTTGATATTTGTATACATGATTGGGACTTCTTATCAAGAATAGATCCGAAAGGGCAAACATAAATGAGGCTGCGTCAAACAAAATGATACTGATGAACCTTAGTACGAATCGCGATTTAAGCAAAAGCGGGGCGTCTCCTCTATCTTTTGAGCCCTTATAAGCTACAGATTGCTTAAAACTGAAGAAGTTGTGGTCGCTCAAAAATACCATCTCCATTTATGGGCTCTCGAAATGACGATACATTTAGGAGTGTTGTGAGCTCAATATTTTTTCAATTTTAAAAATTCAAGTGTTAATTAAAAGTTCTTGCTAAAAGCAATTGAATAAGGGTAGTTTTACAGCTTTTTCGATGGAAGTTCACAATAAATGTCACTGTTTCGGCTAAGTGCGAAAAACAATTGGCTAACTTTAAGCTCGAATATTTCGATAGCTCTAAATGGTTCATCAGTATCATTTCGTTTGACGCAGCCTCAAATACAGAGCAGAATTTCCACTCAAGCACACAGAACGACGTCCGGCTTCAAGGTAAGCGTCTGGTCATGCTTGGTTGAGTGTGTTATGCCTGTCGGTGAGCTCGAAGCTCTGTAGGGAGGGTTCAACCGGCAAGTCCAAGACACTGTGTGTGTATTGGCCGATTACGATCGGGAACTTTACGTGACGGCTTATTGTTGCCTATTTGCACGACTGGGAAGTGCTTGTATTGCGTCTCTTTTATTCTTCCAACCGAGTGTTATACATTCGGTGCCCTCGTAAAAGGCTTCCCCGTGCGTGGTACCCTTCCGCTGTTGGGACCACGAGGATTCATAACACCAATTAGCTTTGCTCGTGCTAGTAGCGTGTTCTTATTTTTACTGGTTTGGCCTATATAAGTAGTTTACAAGGTCCAGTCGGTCCCGGTGCAAGCGCAGAACTGGGGTCTTCATGTCCGCCCGAACATCGTTTGCTATCCTAGCAGACGTATTGTTGTGGGAGCTTCCTAGCTACATTTGTAGCTAGATTTCACGGTGGAATTCCAACACCACAATTATCAAACACTCACTCAATACTATGTTTTACAGATTTTGCGGTCCGTCATGCGTGGGTGTCATACATCCAGGCGTGGTGACACCTGTCACACCAGCTTCAACCGCTGGAAAACGACCGCTCTCTTCTGGAGGGCTGAAGCTAATTTGGGCTGGGTCCGACTCGGATTCCGTGCCGTCGCCAGATCCACCTGTCGACACCGTTGCTGAGTGTGCCGTGTAGAGGCGCAAAGCCTCTGCGAGCTCAGTCTCTGTTGGTAAAAAGAGGGTTGTGTCTTCGAGCTAAGCCCTGGCAAGAAGAAGGCTCATTCTTCGTCGGAGCTAAAGCCTGGCAAGAAGAAAGCTCAGGCTCCCGCAAGCAGCGCCTGTCGATGCTCTTGCGGTATCCTTCGCACAGGATCCAGCTTGCCTGGTGTCTGAAATCGGTGTACCGGTTTCTGTAAAGCACTCTAAAAGGGTGGATACAACAGACGACGTGTGGGATCTAATACACACTCTAAATGTTTACTACAGACATAAGGATCCATGGAAGCCGTCTACGGGGTTGTACGAGAATATCTGTCTGCTTTGCTTGCAGGCGATTCAGTCGCGATCCAAAACAAACCGATACAGCTGGGAGGAGGTTCGGCGCAACACGAAACATGCTAGTAACGCGAAGGACCACATCACGTTGAAGCATGCGGATCATCTACTGGAAATTTTGGCGGAGCAGACCGCGACTGAGAAGTCCAAGAAGGATGATTTTACTGCTGGAAATGATGCGGAAGCCGTGTTGGACTTAACACGTGATCCTGATCAAAAGCCTGTTACAGTAGGTGGAACGACTACTTGTTGTGAAGAGGTGGTCGGAAAAGGGGGAACTACTTCACAACGCTTCTTCAGAGCGAGTAAGAAGACGCTGAATGTCCTATTCGAAGTGGACAGACTTTGGGACAGGACACATTTCGGTCAACCTTCTCTCATATAAATTCAAGTTAAAATGTAAAGAAAGGCCATCCAATTTCGGTGAATATCTCATTACCCATCAATTCTTGGAAGTTATAGTTTTGGGACGTGAAAGTACAAGGTAAGGTCTTTAGTTTGGTATCACGCTCCTCGTTCCGTATCTCAGAATATGACACTAGATAATACTCCCGGATTCTAGTCCCAAACAATGCCTGTTTGAAGCTCGATTAGTGGTGTGTTGCACATCATCTCCATTAGTATATATTTCAGTTTTGTTGGCCCTCAATGTCGAGCAAAACACCATTTTATATTCCACATGCTTTATTGAAGGTATTTGAAAAGTGGCCCGAAATATCTACACTACGGATAATATCCAAGCTCCTGATTTCGCAGGGTTTACCGCAGACAATATGCTCGTCTGAGGCGTTCCATGACGTGACTTGCACGGCAACAGAAAATCGCACGTTTCCAACTTTGGGTCGGGATCGGCTACTCAACGGCCAGTTTCATTTATTTCGTGACCTTTTGGATGTGCTGCTATCTAACGAGTTTGAGATGGCCTGCAAGCTCAAGTTCTTAAATCTGATCCACGACATTTGGACAGGTAGTAAAGAGGACAGTATTGTCGGCGCTTCGGTCGCTTTTATTGACAGCTTAGGGGCTGTTTCATTTGATAATAAGTTAGGAATAGCAGTCCCGATATAGCAATTCAAATGAAACGCATTCGGAATATCTTGGTAGCGTAGAAATTGATATCACTTTGTGAAGGGACTTAACTCAGTGGCTAAACTGATCACTTTGGACAAACGGGGGTAGACAAGGAGCTAAACGCCGACTACAGACGGCGCTTTTGCGCAGCAAGACTCGCAAAGACCCCACAGACGCAGACAGAAGCACCATGTTGCTGGAATCACCGAGTTCAGGCGCTTCATTAGGCGTATTCACCGGCCTACTGCTATCCGAATACTCCCCAAAGTTCCTGTACGCTCCGATTGGCCTCGATCTACGCTGCAAAGCTGTTTTGCGTGCTGTGCTGACCTTAGGTAATGTCTACTAACTGCTAAACGTGAACCTTATGCAGGTACTGAACACAAAGACATACACGCCCAAACAAACAAGCTCATATATTTACTGAACTGGGGTTCACGCTAGAAAGGTATTGTTATATCTACTGGTGATGTGCTTTATTAATTTATCGTCAAAATCTCTTATGTGCTCACGACGTCATGTTTTACTCAACGATAGAACGATAAGAGAAGCTGAAGCCCGCTTGGGCAATCAAAGAAAAAAAATGCCACAAATTGGACTGTGGAAGAGGTATGACATGGACAACTTATCTTGAATCAAATAATTGGTGGTACTGACAGTATGTGTGTAGACTGTCGAGCTACTGAAGCTTCGCTTCCAGGCGGAGGACATCATTGTCAGCTATATTAGGCAGGGCAATAACAACGACGAGAAGACGAGCTAAGAGATGGTAGCGTCGCGCCTGAGCACAGCGCGTGACTGGGAGTCGTGTCGCCGTCGACTCAAGACTTTAACCGCGCAATACAAAGTAAGTAAACGCTTGGAGATGTATAGTATTTGATTGTAAACTCGCGTTTGGTTGCTGGTTTATAGAAACTGCTGAGAGAGGACACACAAGCTGGCAACAGCGTTGAGGATGCTGTAGTTTATCCAGCCTATTGGGATACAATGCTAGAGTGTTTGGGGCCTTTCAGCGGGCTGAATGGAAATGCTATTGCCGACAGTGAGGGCAGTCTGACCACCCTTTGTTCTACAGAGGTAGGCCGTGATGGCTCCGACCGTGGTGTTACCTCTGACAGTGAAGACGCTGAGCACCAAGCAAACACCGAATGCCAGCGTCAAACGAAATTCAGACAAAGCAAACGACATTCAGTTTTCTTGCCAGCCAAAGATGCACCTGTCAAGAGATCAAAGAAGGACCGTGACTTGTCGACCTTGGCGTCGTCAGTCTCGACGTTGGTCGACCATATTGTCGGGCAGCCGGCGGCTCCAAAACACGTGAATTGTCAACGGTCCATGCAGATTTGGCGTTAGTTCGTCAAAATGTTGCTGAAGTTGGAGATCGGGTTGCCGACATAGAGTCCAAGCTGGACGCAATAGCAGACACTGTGGCGGATTCAGTGACGAAAGCAGTACTGGCAACTGTAACTGCCATGTTGGCCCGAAGGTAATTGTTTGCATTGAAATTAAACGGTGACGGAATCTACTAACATGCTAACAATTTCACTGCGTTTTTGATGACCTGCTTGTAGTTCTTCTGCCGCGCCTTCGTCTACTTGAAAAGTTTTAAAGCATCCGTTGCCATCGTCATTATGATGAACCATGCTATCTTGCGTGCTGTTGTCTCTTTCTCCAAGCACCAGGGTTTCCAGCTCCAATCGGGTATTGCGCTCGTGCGTTAAGGCAAAGTTATCTAGCACGAAGCAACTTGCAATAATTTTTTCGTCTTCAACGTCGCTGTTCATATCGAGTTTTCTTCTCAAAAGTTGGAAACGGCCTTTGACAGCCCCAAATGCCATTTCCACCGGCATGCGTGTTCTTGAATGTGACTTGTTGAACTTGTTAATTCCAGGGTTGGCTCGCTCGTTGTGGGCAAAGGGTGTGAGTATGTAGGGGCGTAATGCATAGCCAGCATCTACTATGAAGTGCATACCCACAGGCAACCTTTGTTTGACATACTTCCCCATTAGACTCCGGCTCCACACAGACTGGTCGCTGCAACTCCCTGGTCTAGCTGAAAAAGTCATAAATCTCTGATGAACATCCACAATAGCCATCACATTGTAAGCTGGAAACCCCTTACGACAGTACCATCCCCAAAACGCCGCCGGGCGAGAACGCTTGATTAGAGTTTCATCAATAGCTCCAGCTACACTTGGAATTCCGCATACACCTTCAAAACCTGACGCTACCTAAGACCACTCTAATACATTTCTAGGATAAAATATAAAGCGTCCATACAAAATATGAATAATTCGAGTTAGAGCGCGGGAGCCTGAAGACGTACTGACACCAAATTTTTGGCAGACGTCTTTCAAACTCTCACGCGATCCGAGGTAACAGAGTACAAGAGCTACATTTTCCCTAAGAAAAAACTTTCTGTTCCTACCCAAGGAATTGGGATTGCCCTTGTAATATGCTGACCATTTGGCCTCGAGAAAAGTCACAATAGCTTCGAAGCACCCACGCCCAACCCGAAAAGCGCTTCGAAAGCTGTCGTCATCCTGTCGACGGTCATCATTGAGTATATATTTTTTTGTTCTTACTGTGTGTACTTCCTTGTCAGCATCGCGCATGCACCTACCGTCAACGTTAAACAAAAATGCATATGCACAAATTATCACACAGACAACGGCAGCAGCGACTTCGTTGTCCATTGCGCTTTGCTGAAGCTATTTGGAAACTGACACCCGGCCTTCTCGAGTCCAGCCATGATGTATCGGCTTGTACAGGTAATCCTTGATATTCTCTTTATTCTGACTTTCAAGCTCAGAATAACTTATTCCTTGGATTATCTTACTAGCCAATAAAAGCTTTGTATTCCTTGCCAAAGTTAGGGTAGAATATATTTGCGGTATTCCTATTCTACTTATTCGCAAATGAAACAGGCCCTTATGGTGATTTCGGTTGATTGCCGTGCTCGCATGCGTCAAGAATGACGACCGCAACGCTCCGGGGGTCGCCAAGGCTATCGACAGTGCCTGTAAGACAAGGTACAATCTAGACATCAGAAATATGACTCGTTTTACGATATCTGACAAGACCCCTTCGGTGAAGAACGTTTTCTACCACCTCGACACGGAGCAGGGAAGCTGCTCTATGCGTCTTCTGCATTTGCGCATTGGGTATGGGATTGGGCTCAAAGATAACATCCAGACGAACACTGTCTGAAACGAAGAGACACGCTCATAAGGCTAAATAGTAACTACTGTCACTCCTGGAGGTTCCCTCGACGAGGGTGGCGAGGCGATTGACAAGCTCCGCAATCTAAACAACCCCTCTAGGTCACCCAAACAGCGCAACACCCTGATAAATACCCAGGAGGCGTTTTCGTACCCAGAACTGGAGCCGATGACCGACCTAGACGAGCGAGTGGCCTACACGTGCAAATGGATTCGACGGTCAGTAGTTAGCTATGCGGCATTCGACACGTACTTTCAGTCTACAAAAGATTCTACTAGTGCAAGTACAGCACTGACAGCAAAGGGCTGGGTGCTCGCCGTCGATATGGAGGCCCCCACGCATTCCATACCCAGTATTGACCTAGTGGAAGCGCAGAGCGAGACTTGTCTCGTCATACATGGTCGTCTTCCGGCGACTTGCCGAGAACAAGTTGAAAGCCTTCAAGCTCGAAGTCATGACTATTGAGGCTCCTGGAGCAAAAGATGGCTACGAGGCGACTCACCGACGGGTCGTGAGGACACGTGACCACTTTTCGGACGCTGACAAGACCTGCCTAAAACGGACATTGCTGCAATTACAAACTGGTTCCCCCAGGTGACCAAGGAATGAATGACTTGTGTTTTGCTAGATCCAAGAGCTAAGTCTATGCCAAAACATTGTGGCAATGAGTAGTATTCCTCAGAAGGAGGAGAAGGCAATGTGGGGTTGATTGCGTACGCGACGAACACCGTCACGTGCTCACCCATATGACAAAACACGGGAAATATCGATGTCGCATCAGTCATGTTCGCAGAGTAGCCTGCTAAGTCAAGATTCTTCGCCATTTTCATCGCCCGACGCTGACGAATTACTACTAGGGGTCTCAATTCGAGCCACCAAGGCATGGGACGAGGCCGAGGAGACAGAGATCAGCGCGGGCGCCGATGCCATCATGCGAGAATGGCTGGATTTAGAACCGGAGTGGCTGGAGGTCGCCCAACGACATAGCCCTAAAACCATGATCGAAGAATTGCCAAATGATATGTTGATTGGCGCGCAAGACGGAATGCACTACGCACTTCAGAGTCTGTACAAGAACATCGACGTGTTGAAGTGGTTTCAAGATGAAGGTGACATTCTGTTTCCCTCTATCGCGCTGTTGACGCAGATCCACATCGGGAAATTTTCGTCTTCGGCATTTCAAGAAAGGGTATTTTCTACGGAAGGGAGAGTAATGGGTCCGTTTAAGACCGGGTCGGATAGCCGTCGAGCCTAAAGACAGCTTCTGTTACGGCACAATAGGGACGAGATCGTGAAAATGAAGCAAGACGCGTCGCAAGGCCACCGAGCCGTAATTTGTAGTTTGGGTATAATAATAATAATAATAATAATAATAGTACTGCTACTACCGGTTTGTAGAAGCCCAACTAGTTTCAATAAGCTTCACTCCGTGAGGTCCTAATAGTACTGGTACTACTACTACCTGTTGTTTTAGGCTACTACCAGTCCTGGTCCAGTGTTTTAGGAGCCGAGTCACTCTGACCCAAAACAAATCTAACTTCTTATACTAAATCCAAAATTAGCGTTTTTCAAAACTTAGACAATTTACTTCAGCACTTGATAACATGTTCTATAAGATCAAGATTGAATTGTCGAATCCATTTCAGTGGGTTCTCTTCTGGAACGCGACTATGCTATATTACGCATTCTAGCATGGCATTTGAAGAACACACAACTGAGTACGAAACCCACATAAAATTTACTGTTTTAGCGCGAAATCTGAACTGGTGGTGGGAGAGCGATCACTACGAAGCAGCGTTGTTTTTCTATTACATCTCATTTCCAAACCAATTCAAATGGCCCTTACCTACTCCGTGGAATTTAACAAGCAACGATCGCTCAGGTTCAAGCCGGTAGTACCATTGTTGACGTCGCCACTAGTTGGCGTTCACGAGAGAAATTTACGAAAGCGACTACAGGCGCTAGCAGAGAGCGGGTATCTCAAACCAGCGAAGTCAGGACCCAAACTGCTCTTACCTAAGGCGGCCGAGAACCACCTTTCCGACTGACTCGTTGGCCGACAGCTTGTTGGGCACCCTGTCGATCGCTCCGTTATCATACGGAAGGCACAGGAAGTAGGGTTGCTGAGTTGTGGTGAGCGTGTAGTTGTCTGCGAACTATGCTGAATTTTCGTATCATAAAACGTATACGCTGGTAATGGCCGTACTCGTAAGACGAAGTTCTACAGTGGTTCTGCCATCTGCGTGCAGACTAAATTCGAAGGACCATTAGTACGACCAGAAAACGATATTTTGTTCAGCTGTGGTTTGGTAAGATTAGCCACTGGCACTATTGCGTCGTAGAAATCTGATAGAGATCACGGATCTTGGGCAACGTAAAGCTTAGTAGGAGCGAAGGAAATAGTCACCACTCGGGGGGAGGACCGGACCGAATACATTTGAGGGGAAGAAGGAAGACTATGAAGTGATTGATCTATCGGAGCTTATACAAACCTAAATTATCCAATCATTTGGTGCGTCCAATCACCAGCATTTGTCCGATCATCCTACTCGTCTAACCATCGGTGGCGTAATCAACGTACCGCAATCATCGCGAGATGTTGAATCGGTTCGGGTTACGGGTCATGGATACATACCGTCCGAAACCGGTACCCCTCAAAACGCCCCCTGACTGCGAACATGCGTTGAGTCCGAGCGCCGTCGTAAGGTCCTTGTGGTGTGGTCCTGGGAACGTCTTCGTAATTACGTCCGCCAGCATCACAGAGGTATGGCAGTACTCCAGCTTGAATTCACCGCACTTGACCTCATCACGAATGTGATGATACTTGATGTCGATTTCTTTAACCGACCGTGGCTCACTGGCTTCTTGGTCGGCTTGATGCATGACTGGTTGTCTTTCAGCTTCTTGAGCTCTGGTCACGAGTCACCTGCTGCCGTCAACATCTTACAAAGTAGGCGGCGAACTCACTTGGCTTCTTAAATAGCCAAGCTTAGTGCGATGTACACCGTTTCACTTGTTGATAGCGACACACTTGACTGCTTATTGCTCCCCCAACTCACAAGTGCACTTATCAAAAGGAACGTGTAGCCCAAAGTTGACTTGCGATCGGAGTGGTCACCAGCCCAGTCTGCGTCAGAGTACCTGCGAAAGTCCACCTTGTCACCAGGCTTGAAGCAGATTCCATGTGACTTGCCTCCTTGTAGATAACGAAAAATTCGCTTCGCCGCAGTCCAAGCTACATGTGAAGGCTCTCCATGAAACGAGAAACATAGCTCACGGCAAAGGCAATGCCCGGTCGTGTCGCGGTCACCAAATGCACGAGTGCGCCTACAGCCTCACGGAGGAGCGTTCACCTTGATCGATGCGCTGCTTGGACTAGTCGAGAGCTCAAATCAGCTGGACTTACCACCACCTTGCACTCATCCATATCAACACACTTAGGTATATCGTCGACATATCGGCGCTGGTACATCGTCACGCTGCCGTCGGTGTTGTACACCAACTCAATTCCCAGTACGAATGACTGTCGGTCATTTCGAAACACTTCTTTAGATCGGTCTTGGTGCTTGCAATTAGGTCGGTCGAACTACCAGCCATCAAACCGTCGTCCACGCAGACCAGCATAATCACGCAGTGACCATCCACAATATTGATGTAGAGACACGGGTCGTATGCCGATGCTCGAAAGCCAATGGAGCACACGTCCTCGTCGAATGTCTCGTCCCACACGCACTATGCCTGCTCGAGACCGTAGGTCGCCTTCACCAGTTCTAGGCAGTCGAAGTGCCATCAAGCTCGACACCTTCTGGCACCATGCAGTGCACCACCACCCTTATTATGCCGTACAGGAATGATGTCACCACGTTTAGTTGGCCCAGGGTCCAGCCGAGGTACACGACCAAAGCAATGATCATGCGCAGCGCCACATACTTCACCACGGGTAAGAGCGTTTCCGTGTAGTCAATGCCGTACTCCTTCTTGAAGCCTTTCGCCACGAGGTGCGCCTTGTAGCTCTCGATCGAGCCATCCGTTTTGCACTTGATCTTGAACATCCACTTCGTACCGATGGCCCGTTGACTGTTCGGTAACTTGACAGCTCGAAGCACACCGCTAGTCGCATCTATTGAGCTCAGCATGGATGGCCTTGCGCCAATGCACTTGATCAGGCCCGTTCATCGCTAATTGAAGCGTCCCGGCTCAGCCAAATCACCAGCTTCCACTGATCTGCCTCTTGCTCGCCAAAATACGGGCGGCGTTCCGTCGTCATTTTCTTCATCATAGACACCTTTTTCTTCTTCATCAGCCACATCAGCGTCATATGGCACACTAGGTCGCATTGCTTGATGCCCAAACGAGATTTCCGGGGTGTTAGCTTCTTCTAAACCGGCTGCCTGCTGTGCCGCGCGCGATTTCGTTGTCATGTCGTCATCGTCACTTGTGCGGTACTTGCGTTTCCCTGCCTGCTTATATTCCGCTGGACCCGCCGCTTCAGTATCGTTGATGCCAACAGAGTCGAAGTCGAGATCGAAATTTTCGTCGTCATCGCCTGAACTAGCCATCGAAAGCTCAAAGTTTGATTCGTCGAAATCGACATCGTGACTGATCACCACCTGCCCCGCCTCAAAAGCATAAACTCGATACACCTTCGACACTTCTTCATAGCCCATGTACAGCCCAGCGCGAGCCTTGGGATCCCACTCGAGTATCTTCTTCTTCGGAGTTAAGACGTACGTCCGACACTTGAACACACGCATGTGCTTTACACTTGGCTTGAACTTGTACACGCTCTCATATGGAGTCTTGGTTTTGATCTTGGGTAACGACAGGCGATCCTTGACATAAATGGCAGCCATTGCCCCTTCGCCCCGGTAACACCTTTTCAACTTGGCATGGTGCAGCATGCTGCGACCAATCCTGACGATAGTCCGGATGGCACGTTCTGTCGTGCCGTTGGTTTGGTGCGCGTACGGAAAAGTTGCTTGCTGTTCGATGCCTTGATTCTCGTAGAGCGCGAGCTCACGGGCTCCGTCATGGCGCACGAACTTGACCCGCTTACCGAATTGGCTCTGTACCTTCGCGTGTAGCTCTCGAGGCATCCTTCAGCGTCCGACTTGGGAAAACGTTCATGCGTCCGCTGGCTTCGTCAGCGATGATCAGCATATACTTGCTTACACCCAGCGATTCTTCTTCAACGGGACCGCAGATGTCGAAGGGAAGCAACATGAACGTGTCGTAGCTGCGCTGTCGGCGTTACTGGAAAAAGGTTTCTGGACCATTTTCCCATGCTGACATCCGCGGCAGACACTTTGTCCACTTGACTTCAAAGGTGCGGTGGCGTCCTTGATCATGCCGCTGTTGACTATCTTGCGTAACACGTGAATAGGGGCATGACGCATGCGCGTGCAGGTCAACGTTTGACTTTAAAGCCACTGCGTTTTCCGAGCATATTGGTGTGCGCAGCCAGTAGAGCCCGTCCACAAGGTCTGCTGTAGCGACCACTTCCTTCGATTCCTTGCGCGCAGCGTGCATGGTTTCATCGTCGAACACCACTTGGAACGTGCAGCTCTTGTTGATCGGCGGCACCGATAAAAAAGTTCTTCATCTTTGGTACGTAGAGCGCATTGTTAATCCCGATCTCGCGCTCGTCGCCGATGGACAGAACCACTCGCTCGATGAAAAATCCCGCATCCTTGATAATAACGTTGGCGCCATCAGTGACCTTCATCTCGCCTTCATCTCGTTCGTTCCGCTTGCTGAACTTAACCTTTCACTGCAGATATGGCGCGTCGCACCGCTGTCGACCGCCAAGCCCGGACATATTCTTGCCTGTCGAAATTTCACGCTCCAACGAAACTGCAAAGACTACGCAACCATAGCCGTAGTCGTAGCCGTCGCTTCGTCACTGGACATTGTCGGCCTCGCGCCCACGACCATTGCCGCCGCGTCGACCTCCTCGATTCTCATTATTCTGCTTCGTTCAGCACTTCTCCAAACGTGCCCCAATTACCGCAGTAACTACACTGGCAGAACTCTCTCTCAGTACTGAACGCCTTCGCCGCGTCTTCAGTCTTCGCCGCAGAAGTCTTCCCGCCGTGTCGCTTGATATGATTATTCGGGAGCACCTTCACAACGTATTGCGTCTACAGCTCAGCCGTACTCATTTCTAAGTGTAGCACGAGTTCTCGTAGCTCTTAGGCTGACTGCGCAACAAGCAAACCGCCACGTTCTCATCCTCCATCTTGGCGCCAATATTACTAAGCTTGGCACTGATGTTGAGATTCTCATTGCAGTGATGCAACACATTCGCGCCTTCAGACATTTCTACGCTGAAGAGCTGTCGCCTCAGATAGATGCGGCTAGCCTTCTGCGATCCACCGCACAACGTCTTCAAACACGCCCACGCGGTACACGCCTCCTTGCAGCGGTCGACCACTTGGTGGTAGTCCGCGTCCATGTGGAGATGCATCCATCTGCTGTTCAACTTAACATACTCGTCCTTCGCACGAGGGTCCGTGAAGCTTACAGCCTCGTCCTCACCGCCCGTGTTGAGCTCACGTTCGGCGAACCGAGGGTTCGGACGGTTGTCTGGGGAGACCGAAGGTGACGGACTGCGGCATTTGCTCGCACGCTTGCTCACAGCCGCGTCACCAGCTAAGCCGATCGCCTCCGAGGCCACCTTAGTAGCCTCCTGGAGTGCAGAGCCTTTGCCATGAGGCTTAGCGCTCTTGGCTTGCGCCTTTCCGGCAGCATCCTAGGAACGTGTCTTCGCACCGCTCTTCGCAGTGCCACGGGGCATGATAACGGTCGATGTGGAGACCAAGAAGAAGAGCGCTCAGCCGCCGCTCGAGGCTCTAACTGTGAAGTGAGCCTCCGTCGCGCTCGCTCAGCCAAGCCGATGTATTTCGACTTTTAGAATGAGAGTTTGTGACGTACACTTCTTCATTCTGATTGGTCGGTAAACCGAACCTAAGTGGGGGAGGATGTAACGAGGTACGTAGCCCCCATTGTACCCTAGTTACATGAAGTGTGACACATCACACTTCGGGATATCTGGTACATGGTATCAGGGTCGTCCGAAGCCAACCATTGGCTGATGACATTGGTATTCTATCGGCGACTTATAGTTTGTATATTTAACTCAAGCTTAGCCTACCTATAAATATATTCAGCCTACAACTTAACCTATAATTGGCCACCTCGCCCCCTTAGGCAAAGGGGACCTGTGAACTGCCGTTCACTGAAAGTTTGTATACTCTCGGAAGCCAACTTCCTCTAGCGCAAGGTGCTGTGTGACCCCGTCACAGACTTAAAGCTGTGACCACCGCATCTCCAACAAACTATGTCACCCCGCCGCGTAGCGGCGGCGAACGACTAGTAAAAAGAATGAATGAATGTCTGTCTGTTAGCCGCGTGATGCTTCCAAACACAGCATGTATATCAAGTGAACAGTAAATTTTCAGTGAATACAAAAGAAAATGACAATTAATTATCATGATAAGATCCAAGGGTGATCTAACCCCTAGCCCTAAGAAACAGCCGGAAAAATCGCAGTATTAATAATGCAGGGAAGTCCGGACCTACAAATATATGCGAGTTGATCAGATATATTGGTCCATCGACTTTAACCCTTTTCTGACAATTGTTGTTTCAAAATCTTGAAAAGTCTCTAATATCTACCAATCACGTCGCTGTTCCGACTCCTTACACACACCACACATCTGCCATGCTTCGGAGTCTGCTGAAGCGCTCGTCGCGCGCGTCTACGGGACTGTTGCGGCCTGTGCGCTGCTTCTCATCCTCTGCAGATGATACAGAGCCTCGAAGCTTTCTTGAGGATCATCCGCGTCTGCGCATCGCGCTCGTGGGCAGAACCAATGTTGGTAAGAGCACGCTTTTTAACCGCCTCACGAAGACTCGCTCCGCTATCGTGCACAACGTGCCCGGTACAACGCGTGATCGGCGTTACAAGCGCGCTACCTTGGCTGGACTGGAACTAGACGTGGTGGACACTGGTGGACTGGAAGATGCGCCCTCTGGGACCCTGGAGGAAGGAATGCTCGAGCAGACAAGACTCGCTGTGCACGAGGCTGACCTCGTCTTCTTCCTGGTGGACGGACGCCAGGGCATTACACCGGTAGACAAACATTTTGCTCGATGGCTGCGTAAAGAGAACCCTCAGGCGCCAATCCACCTGGTGGCCAACAAATTGGAGGGAGACCCTGAGCGCTGGGAGGACGAACTTAACGACTGCTATCAGCTGGGCATGGGCGGAGCTATCCCGCTATCTGCGGAACACGGAGAAGGCATCACGTTGCTGTTGGACGAGATCATCCCGGTGTATGAGAAGTTTGAGAAGGAGAAACAGGACAAGGAGGCACAGCTGAAGGAGAAGGAGGGCGAGCAAGAAGAGGAGGAGGATGACGTATGTGTACTGCTGGTGCCTTTAGGTTGAAAGATGAGAACGCTGACCGAATATTTTGCTGACGTGCAGTCACGTACGATAAAGCTTGCTATTGTGGGGCGTCCTAATGTCGGCAAATCCACGCTGCTCAACAAAATTGTGCGCAACGACCGCGTGCTAACGGGTCCTGAGTACGTATAAAATGAGTCTATACGCTCGGCGGAGGAACTAACATAAATGTCTTTATTATTGCTCCCAGACCTGGTGTGACGCGTGACTCGGTGGAGGTGCCGTGGACGTTCCACGGTCGCAGCATCAAGCTCGTGGATACGGCGGGTATCCGGCGGTACGGCAAACGCGACCATGACGACCAGATCGAGAACTTGTCGGTGCGCGATTCCTTCCGTGCGATCGACTCGGCTCAAGTCGTGGTGGTAGTCGTGGATATGAGTGAGCCGAAGCTCATTCACATGGATCTGACAATCGCTCAGCGGGTGATCGAAGAAGGTCGAGCGCTGGTGCTTGCAGCCAACAAGAGCGACCTGGCCGGTGCCAGTGTCGACTTGGAGATGCAACGAATTCAGAATGAGCTGCAAGACTCGCTTGCCCAGGTGCGTGGTGTGCCTGTTGTACCCATCTCTGCCCTCACGGGCAATGGGATCAAGAAGCTCGTACCGGAAGTGCTTAAGGCGTATGAGAAATGGGACCTCCGTGTTACTACTGGGCGTCTGAATCGATGGCTCAAGGCTATGGCGAGACACCACCCGCCTCCGACGGTCAAGGGCAAGACGCTAAACGTCAAGTACGCGACGCAGGTGAAGTCCCGACCGCCCACGTTTGCCGTGTTCGTAAACAAACCGTCCGAGGTACCCGAGTCCTATCAGAGGTTTCTACTGAGCCAGCTTCGCGAGGAATTCGACATGGTGGGTGTGCCAGCTCGTCTGCTGTTACGAGGCAACAAGGAGAACCCGTTTGAGAAGCGCAAGAAGTTCCAGCAGCGCACCAGCAGCGTCTTGTTCGGCAAGCAGCGCCTCACGCAGAAATCGACCGACGAGTCGACGGCTGATGCGAAGAAAGACAAGAAAGCATCCTTGACCAGGAAGCAGAAGACTGGGCACTTTACTCCTCGTCGCTTCAAGGGCAAGAAAAAATAGGCACCGACAGATAGATAGAGCTACCCATACATACACACGCCATGTTCTTCAGGAAACGTCTCGATTGTCAGGCGGCACAAGACCCTACACTACTTCTCTATCACTTCGAGTGCCATCCATGACTTAAGCGCAGCACGTGGATTCCTGCTCTGCTCTTAAGCCTGGCCCGGGAAGCACTGCTCCAGAGTGAAGCCCTTGGATTCGTGTTTGCTCTGGTAATGGTCGTTCAATTGCGATTTCTGTAAGGCAAGAACGATATTACGTTAGGTGCGAGTTCACGAAGACTACCCGATACTGTCGCTGGTCGAGGTGACGTACGCTGGCAGTGATGAGGAACGTGGTCATGCAGATCTTGCACTTGAGCCCAGTACGGTCCGCCTCCATCTTGGCCTTGGACTCGGCGTGGTTCTTGTGTTTCGCCTCCTTCATTTTCTTGGCATTGTTGCGATCGCGCTTGGCCGCCGATTTCTGTCCGTTACCGCCACCCATGCTTCTTGCAACTTGGGGAGTGATACAGGGCCATTAGCATCGCAACATTGTGTGTCAAACCCAAAAGCAGCGTGAAAACAGCTGCACAAACCTACTCTTCTTGTCATTCAGGAAGGCAGGAAATTAGCAACAAGCAATCGCAACAACCGAACACAGCACAACCAGAAGGCAGAAACAGATCGCTCCTTCCCGTGGCCTAAAGTCACGCTGCAGTAACATGAAGAAGAAAAACGAAGTTGGTGCTTCTCTTATTGGTAAGACAAGCCGCAGCGCAGCGAAGCATGGCCACCTAACTCTCTCGCCTGCTCTTTTGCACTGTACTAATAGGCCTCGCTACAGATGACCAGTGGTCCTCCCTCGTTCTGCTTGAAAAAGTATAAAAATATGAAGATGGAGAAAGTAACCCCACAGCCGTCAGTGCTATGATGGATCCGTCTGGCGCGCTGGCTGGTGCCTCGTTAGACCTTTCCAGGGAAACACTGCTCGATTGTAAAGCCCTTAGACGAGTGTTTGCTCTCAAAGTGGTCGTTCAGCTGCGTCCTCTGTTCAACACAAAAGGACAGATAGAAAGAGGGTTAGTATCGTAACAATCAGGTACTGAGGGTGCTGACGGAGACGTACGCTGGCCGTAATGAGGAACGTAGTCATGCAGATTTTGCACTTGATGCCGGCTTTATCGGCCTCCATCTTAGCCTTGGACTCAGCGTGGTTCTTCTGCTTGGCCTCCTTCATCTTCTTCGCATTGTTGCGCTCGCGCTTGGTCGCAGATTTCTGTCCGTTGCCGCCGCCCATGCTGCTTGTCTTGTGCTGCCGATTGTCTGGATGGTTGGTGACAAAAACAAAAACACTCCAAAAATCTGACATCATATGCCGTTTTTGTGTTCCTTTTTGTGACGACCAATTTTTGGCCGAACGGGCGTCGAAGAGATGGCTACACTCAATGAGGTCATGTCATGCATGTACCTGCTCCTGTGGTGATCACGGCAGCCGGCGAAGATCCGACGCAACTACACCAAGCACAATGCAATCCACTAACGTCCAATATATTGAAGCAGACGCTGCATATAGCGAGCAGGATGACGTTGAAGACGAAGAGGAGGAACTAGCACAGAGCTCTCCGCACCACTGCGATGAGGGCTATCCAGCAATTGATCCGGAGGAGGCAGAGATCACAATCATGACGCTACAGCTGCAGGTACACGCACTTCAGAAATATAAGAGCAACTATGAGCTGCTGTGTGGCCAGCTGAGCGATCTCAATACTCAGATCGGCCTCCAGTTGCAGCGCCACGAGGCAGATGTGTCCGCTTTGCAAGCTTCCATTGCCGATCTTGAGACGGAGAAAATCGGTCTGGAAGCGGAAGTTTTGGAGGCACGACACGCACTCGCAATGACAAGAGATACAGCCAAACAAGACCGAGAATACTCGGAGAATATCCACCGGCAGCTTAGCACAGCAGCGGAGCTGCTTAAAGCTACTGAAAAGCGGTTGGAGCAGCAGGAGCAACACTTTACGGCAGAAGTTGAGCGGCTGAAAACCCAACTTGCTGCTGGAGATGACAAGCGCGCCGAGTATCAGGCCAGAACTACTGCTCTGGAGGAGGAAATTGAAACACTTCGAGGGCAGGAGAGAGTTGCCAAGGAGCAAGCGGTTTTGCGAAGGCGGCGTGAGAGAAGCAAGCACAAGAAGGAGGTGGCTGCACGTGCGGCAACGATGCGATCTTTAAGCGATGAGCTGGAGGCGCAACGTTCGGCTTTGCGTGCGACGAAGAAACAACTTGGACAGGTGCAAGCAGACAACGACGCTCTTCGCAAGCAACTGACCAATGTGAAGCGTGACGGAGCTCATTTCTCTGACATCATCGACAGCCAACGTGCTGAGCATGAATCCTACACAGATGAGCTCATGCAGACCAAGAAGGCGAAGAAATTACTAGCGAAACGTGTGACAGCGCTATCTCAAGAGATAGAGCAACTTCAGACCGAGCTTGCAGACGCCAGAGACGAACTTGTGCTCAAGAACAACGAAATTGAGATTGGTCGGGATGAGATCAAGACCCTACGCGTTAAGCAACGGCAGTCTTCACAGACTCTTGATGAAACTCGATGCAGCAACGACAAACTGGCGAAATGGATCGGAGCGCAAGAGGAAGTGGAGCGTGAAAGATGCACCAAAGCCAAGACGGAGGAGCAAGAACAACGAGTACGTCGAGACTCCAAGTACCGTACGGAGGTGCTGCGCATGCGTGAGCTTCTTGAAGACAACCAACGGCATGCTACCGAGTCATCAAAAGGTGTCCAGAGCCTACGTCGAGAACTTCTGGGGGTTCAAAAGCTGCTGTATGGCTGCGCACAAGCGCAAGAAGTCACACCTGAAGCAATCGACCAATGGGCTGAAGTGATGCGAAACAGCGCCACAGCCGAAGAAGGTGTAAAGACACCACTACGCTGCAGACGCAACAAAAGTCAGGCTTTGTAATGTTATCGTTGGTGTTCACTTGTCTTTGGATCTGCTTTTCTTCCTGCTGACAGTGGCGGGGGGTTTTGTTGTGAGTGCTTCGTAGCGAGTCTTTAGCTTGTCAAACTCTTGGCGTAGAAAGTCGTTCTCTTCCTGAAGCTCACGCAGTTCCTGGCTCATCGCATTCACATCAGCATCCGATATAGTGCTGCCGGATTGAGTCATGGATAGTTGTTGCTGTTCGAGTTCAGCGATGTGATCGTCTTTTTCACGTATGGCATCACGAAACGTTTTGCGAAGTGCGTCCATTTCGTGCTTGAGTTGTTGCTGTTGTTGCTCCATTCTAACTGCTGATGGAGGAGGGGGGCCCGATACTGACCCACTGCCGCTTTTTCCGCTTGGCAATGGAATTCTACTAGGTCGCCGCTGCAAAGTGGTGAACTGTCAAGCACTATCCAAGTGGCAAGCGAAAAGCAAGTACAGTATATAGACTCACCGGAATACGTAACGCAGCGTCATCTTCGATAGGGGGCAGGGACGGAGACGGCGGTGGAGCCTGCACTGGCAGCTGTGGAGCTAGATCAGAGCTGCTGTGCGATTCTTGCAAGCTTCGAATCTGTTTCTCCTTGCTTTCGAGCTGGGCTTTCAGGCTGCGCACTACTTCAGTCAGACGCTCCTTCTCCACCTGGTTGTACAACAAGTTAGCAGATAAAGATCCAAGCTAAAATAGCACCGTGAAACACTCACGGCGATTGCTCGATACTGCGAAATCTCGCTTGGCTGAGGCATTGCAGTGTTTGATCTGTCACCAGCTCTGCTCTTGTGCTCAGCGACAATTCTGCGGAGCCTCTCCAACTCAACTCGTTCCTCTTGGCTGGTGCCGGCAGCTTTCGGAGCGTCTGCAGTTCGTGCACGTCTCGCTTCATGCAACTTCGTCTTCCAAGTCTCCAGTTGACGTTGAAGCGCGTCCACCAGGGCGTCGTCGGTCCGGGATTTGTCAACGAAAACCTGAAACTTGTCGCGTGTTTCATTCTTTTCCCTGTCGAGAATCTGCGCGCGTGCCTTGAGTGCATCGTACTTACGCGTTAACCGATGAAGACGCTCCTGCAGTTCATCGCGTTGACTTGTGAGCTGGTCCAGCAGTTTTTGTCGGTGCATTTGCAGACCTGACAGATCTTGCTGTGCTCGTTGGTCCACGTCCAGTACGTGTCCGTTATCGTGCGTATCTGTTGAGCTGGTCCCCGGTCTCAAGGTAGCAAGCCGAGTTTGCAGTTGCTTCACCTTCGTTTTGAGCATGATAATCTGCTGGGCTCGACCACGGCGGCTTGCACCGCTGGTGGCAGTGTCTGTATTCCCCACAATGTCTTCAAGTGGCACATCTTCACCGACTTCTCGTACCAACGCGCGTTGGGTTTTCTTAAGTTCCTGCTGCAGTGCAATGTTCTTCGACTTTAGCTCGTCACAGAGTTTCTTCCACGAACCGCCTTCACTGCTGGTGTCGCTGGGGGATTCAGTTGGGGACTCGACTCCTTGTGCCTGACTTTCTGCACCTTTCTTATCGACCTTTTCTGCGGCAGCTCGAGCCTGGAAGCGCTGCAACTTCATCTTGAGTGTGTCAACTTCTTCTTCAAACTGCTTGTTGGCTCTCTCGAGCTCTTTGCATTGCCTTGAACCATCCGCCGCTAGCTGCTTCTCACGCTGTAGCGAACGTTTTAAGGTTCGCAGTGTTTTGGCCTGATGAACGATCTTCACGTCTCGAATATCCTACAACACGCAAGCAACGCCCTGAGCTAAATTGTCATGGAAGACTGTAGAGCTACAGCGTCGACCTACGTGGTCAAGACTGTCCTTTTCTAGCAGAATGTCCTGAACTGCGTCGACGTCTAGCCCTGGCACTGGTGCTTGCGCCTCGAGTTGGATCTGCAGCCTATTTCGTAGGATGCAAACATTTACCAGATTACGGCGAGGATATTTACTAGAGTTGACGCTTTGAAATCTTACGCTTTCACTTGCTGTCGAAGATCTCGAGCTTCCGCAGTCAACGTCGCGTTGGCATTTGTTAGTTCCTGGAGCTCTTGCACACGATCCCACTGGATTTCACCACTGAATGGTTTCTGCTGTTGCTGGCTATGGCTACGACCGTCTGCACACTCGTCGTGGTTATTCTCTTCGTTGTTGTTGCTGGTCCCACTGGTGTTCTGCTTGTTGCTTGCAAATAAAAATTCAATCGCTGGTCCGTCGTCAGAGCTACTGCTGTCATCGTCGTCATCGAATTGAGGAACAACCAACGCAGCCTAACACAGCAAACACCACTGAGATTACGCCTTGCTGCAGCTTGAATACCACACGGGTCGAACCTGTTCGGGTACCATTCCCTGTCGTCTCAGTGTGACGTCAATCAGCTTTTTGCCATCGGGACGAACGTGTACTTGGGTGCTCGCCACCTCCATGACACGACTTCTACTTTTCCCAACCAAAATACGGCTGGCAACCGCTGAGACTAAAAATACCAAAATAACGTTAGATACACATCTGCTGCAACTTGACGTGACTTAACAGTAAATAGTCAACACAATTACTGCACTACATATTGACAACAAATAGATCCACGTTATCGTGTCTGCTTCCGTTGCTGCTCCTTCGCCTCGATCGTGAAATTCGCCAGCCCCTCGATAATTTCTCTAGTCTTCGGAGTCGGTGTTGATTCTTTGCGTGATACAGGAGCCACTGCAGCCGATGCGGCACGCACCATTCGTCCAGGTGCTGCGTTCAGAGCCGAGATGGTAGCAGTATCTCGACGTGCTCGCGCCACGCGATCGGTGACCTGCCGAAGACCAGAGACGAGATCTTTCTGCTTGAAGAACAGACGCAGACTGCGCATGCGGCTCGCATCCACCGCCATTTCACCGAATCCGCGCACCTCCACCTTGGAGCCATCGCCCTTTATGCCTCTGTACTTGCCCGTGAAAGGACCCCAATGACGCCACGAGAAGTAGCACTGTGGTGGCTGGGTGAAGACATCTAATACCTCCATAGGGAAGCCGTCCGGGAAGGCTTCGGCAAGTTCCACCCGTGGATCGTGACTTTCGTCGCTGCCTCCGCGATCTGCACCCATAGTCGCTTCAGCATCACCTAGATACAACAGTCCAAGCATGTCGTTCTCGAGGATTGATGAGCCAAGAACCTGAATACCGTCGTTCACTTGCAAATAAAAGCTTTCCTGGACGACACTGCGCCACTGATCATAGCGAGCTTTGTGCGTGGCCTCTACAATGAACGTGTGGCAGCATTCCTCCACGTACGAAGCGAGAGGTGTCGTGTCTGGCTCGCGGATACGGCCGCGAACATACGCCAAGTCCGTGAGCACGTACTTTGGAGCACCATAACGCCATTCGATGACTTCACCGTTCCTAAGACTTAGCATCACACGCGATGGCAACTTGGCACCTTTTGCAACAAGAGCATCCAGTTCTTGTTGAGCCTTTGCCAGTCTGGATGCCGACACTGTAAGTGAAGAGCCTGCTTCAGGCACGAAGAGGAGCACGTTGCTATTGCTGCTTTGCGATTGTATCGATGTCGTTGACGAACTCGAAGTTACCGAATCCATTCGATGGAGTCGTGACGGAGGAAGCGTCTGGGCTGAAGAGGGATAATCCATCTGCTCTGACGTCGATGGTGGCGAGCTGCCTGCTCGGGAAGAAGGTGTCGATACAGCTGTGGCCTCGTCGTCTTCCGTACGCAGCTTGCTCTGGAGTTTGCCACCTGTATAAACGCGTGGCATCTTCGCATTCGAAGTCGACGTAGGCCTCGTAGCCACTGGCTCCCTGTCTCCACTGGCGTCGTCGATAACCAGCACAGCTTCACTTTTCATGTTCTCTACATCAGTACTGCTGTGATCACTGTTTGATTCTTCCAAAACAGGGATAGAGTCCGCCCCACGCAGCGCGTTGTGCTCGTCCAGAGACAGAAGCACTTGTTTGTCCATCGCAGAGCCCAATTTGCTGGTGGGTCTACTACTCTCTCGCTGGGTAACCTGCACTTCCTGCAACGCTTCGAGCCACTGCGTCGCCTTCTCGCTGTTCTCGGCCGCCAGTCGAACCGTGATGCACTTGGCAGTTGACCCGATCATGACTGTGAAGACTTTGTCCGACTGATGGCTTCCTCCTTCTCCGGACGACCCATCCGCACGCAACACAGTCCCAACAAGTACGGGGCTCAGTCCACTCGCTTTGGCGATGGCATCTCCACCGTGGGGGTCCAACGGGTGTCCTGACGCCAACCACAGATTGAACGACGTCTCGTCTTTACAAGAATACAGCTCCGGATGACGGCGCGCTACGAAATAATATCGTTTGTCCGCCACCTTGAGCAGGCCGCGCTTGATCATCAAGTAGCCGCTGTGACGCACATCCACCGCCACTTCCGGCTTTTGGGTGCTGACCGAGAGGAAACTGGCGTTGGAACTAATTGACCCGCCATGTCTGGACCGCGTTCGTCGTCCGACGCTGCTGTTACTGTTCTGACTGTGGCTGCTGGATGAAGACGTCGACTTGCAGATGAACTGGTCGTCTGTTTGGCGGCTATTGGACCGCGACGCCGCAGCTACGGTTGCCTTGCTCACTCGGGAGTTGGAGTCAAGCCTCTGCTGCTGCTGTGGACTATCAACTCGTGCCATAGAAGGCGCGGAGGCTGTTCGACCCTGTGACCCCACCTTGGGCTGTTCCAGGGGCGGTGAATTGACGAATGATGGCGGAACGACGTCTGCATTATCAGGATGATGGGTGGATACGGAGGCCAGTGCCGCCAAAGCGTTGCAACTGCCGGTTTTGCTATTGATTCCTCGATTCTTGCGCCAGTTGTCGTCACGGCGACGCTCCTGGGCTGTCGTCGGTTGGTCACTTGGCGCTCTTTTGGGCCGAACGTCGTCCTTGACAGCCTCTTCAAAGCGAAAGCTGCGCTCCTCCTCATCGACGAGTCTGTCGCCTCTCCTACTAGCGCGGCGGCCGCGCAATCGATGCGCCAGCGCCTTCATGGTGCGGGCAGGAATGAAGGTCGCTCGATTTGCGTGTGGAATGCGCAGTGGCAAAGAAGTGGCTTGTTGCCTTTTTGCGGAATCGAGTTTGTCGCCTTTTTAAGCTGACAAGGGATGCGCAACATCTGGTCCATAAGGTCCTACCCTTCATTGCAATGTGGCAATTTTTCGCTGTGAAGAGCTGACTTGGCACTGCCAATGGCAGGTGTGTATGGCAAAACGGTCGTCTTCTTTCGCGTCCACACGTTCGCTGTACAGTATTGCGCATTTGTCCACACAACGTGGAGCCCATGCAACTTCCAGGGCTTCTCGCTCTCTCTGCGTTTTTGCAGTCCAATGAGCGTAACCGTCTGCTCCAACATGTAGATTACCGTAGCACTGCGACTGGCAGTGAGCACTGGAGCCCCAAGACTTCAAGATACAGAAATCTGCCTGAATAAGGAACGGGGTTTCAGCTAATAACCTCGCAATTTTTATAGTCGGCAAAGATTTAGGGAGATGGGAAAGTGATGGGCAAGGTACTGACAAAACAATCCAGGCACTGACTTTGATTTCAATTTAAAAAATGGCGTGCAGTAGGTGATCCTTCTTCGCTTCAAGCCCTGCGAGCCGAACTTCATTCCTACATTTACATTCAAGCTCACTAGCCAACTGCGTCCTCAGCACCCCATGTCCTCCAATCGTCTCCGCCTCACCTGGTCCGAGAAGGCAACGTCCGTGTTGAGAAGCTACCCCCGAACACCACCGCCAAGATTCAGCCGCTGGATCAGTCAAAAGTCGAATCTTCAATTTATCCTAGGTTAATTCAATACATGCACATGATCCGATATCAGAGTCTCTTTTTAGCGAGGCACTGTCAGCTTATCAAATCTCTTTCTTAATTTATATCAGGCGTTCCTTATTCAGGTAGATTTCTGTACCGAACCTGGCCAAGGAACGTCAGGCAGAACGCTATCGCGGGGGAGTTCCATCGTGTTTCTGGCGCTGAGCAATTATACTCCTCCAGAGTCTGGAGAAGTACAGTATAATAGCCCGACCGGTTTGGTACCGATCACTGCGCAGTCGCGTGGAAGCTCCCACGACCGTATCCGAGCCCTTCAGAAATGGGGCGGTGTGGAAATATGGTGGCGTCTCGACGGCACGATTGGCGCAAATTCACAGAGTTTACGATAGCGGAGTTCGCGTGAATCGTTTGGGGGGGCACTTATATCTGTCATTCATTATTTCCAGGCCCCGTGCTATTATTGCTCTTCCAATGTGCATGTACAGCAGTATACGCGGGTACCATCGATACGGACACGGTGTTTCCAGGGCTCACACATCCTGGTGGTGCCAAGTTGAACATTGACAACCAGCATTGCCACATTCGGTGAGTACGTTAAGTCGCAACAACACATTCGACACGTGCGCATCGAAAGTGTGTCCAGCCAAACGGACTATCGACTTCAATCGCATGGGTGGATTCTTCTCAAATAAAATTTATCACCACACATATTCGGATACATGTACATGCACATGTTGTACCTCACTCTTACGCCGCCACCTTTTGAGCATTGACAGGTTTCACCTGCTGTCGCATCATCAACAAGATAAGCGCCAGCAGTTTCTCGTACGTGACAAGGGAGATCGCCGCGGTCAACACAGTTTGCAGCAGCTTGGCCTGAAGGCCAGCAAAGTATCCGGCCACGCCTCTGTCGGCGTAGATCTGGGCGAGGCAGCCTGCCAATCCTGTGGCTCGAGTCGGCTTCTCTTCTAACGACTTTCCTGTCTTCTGCTGGGTGCGCATCAGCGACTGCGCAACTTGTAGCGGATACGTGACAACCGTCGTGAACGACTTGGCCAGCGCACCGAGCAGGAAAATATCAAGTGCGGAGAGCGCGGCTTCAGCGAGGCCTGTGTCATGGCGTTTCTTTTGAAGCGCGATCTTCATGCGCTCGTAGCTGACGTAGTGAATCACCGGGTTCGACACCAACACCAGCGATGCCAGCGTGCCGTTCCAAAGCGAGAGGAAGCCTTCGTTAGCGGTGACCTTGCGCAGACAATCTATCCAGCAGACGACATTGTCAGCTCAAGCAATTAACAAGGGATCTACATGCTGAAAGCGATTCTTGCCACGTACCAAGCACGCCTGAGTACTCTGCAGCATCTTTCGACTTAAGACGCATGTTGGCAACCCATAACGGTGCACAAATGTACACGTTGATAACACCAGCAAGACACGACAGCAAAAGATTCTGCACAGGGGTGATGTTGCCGCTTATTTGTCGGTTCTGTCGCTTCAGAAGGTGCGTCTTTAAGCCATTGTAGCTGCAGCAGAAGACCGTCAGATTTAACCCCCCCCCCCTCGTTCGATTGACCCAACTCACCAGAAAAAGTAGACGAAGTTCGACCCTCCGAGCGCGATCTGTGTGGACACGTGACCCTGATAAACTTGCCACTTTTTCGTCTTGAGGATCTCCGCCACTTGGGCCCAGAAGTGCCTCGTTGGAGCTCTGAGTTTGGTTGAGTCCGCTTTTCCAATCTGCTGCTCTGCATCTTCTTCCGTCTCGCTAGTATTCACTTCCGGTAGCAAAACATTATATCATATCCATTACTGTAGTCCATTAAGCAGCCACAGTCAATTTGACTTGCATACCTTGCATGATGGTCTTGATCTGGTCCAGCGGGTACAGCAGCGCCATGGCCAGCATGCCACCCTGCAATAACACATGTCAGCAGATCCATTGTCATGAGCAGCCAGACAAGAGGCATGCACCGCGCTGCCTGCGATGCCGTGCGCGAGCGTTTCCATCTCACTGCCCAGGGATTACTGTGAAAAGTGGCGGCGAAGCTTCAAGCTTTGCCGCGATTTGCAACTCAGATTTATCCATACGCATGCAACTCAAGGTCCCGACGTCCAATTTTCTAACAGCATAGTAGTACCCTAAATTTAACTGTCCATCTCACATTAAATTATGCTTTTCGATAGGGTGTAGAATCCTGCCATCTTCGTCAGGCGGGACTCGTGCAGAGGTGTGGCGTCCTGTTGGTCAGGTCAGTCTCCATTCAACCTTCTGGCGCGGACTCGACAATGCTGGGCCGTGTGCTGAAGGAAGTGAAGTTGCCGTTCCCGGATGATTTTTTCCCAGAGATGGCGATCTCGGCGCAGCAAGCGGACGGCTTATCGCACCGCGATGCGACTACTGAATCAGACGCTAGACGCCGAGTCGCCCACACGATTCCACCCAAGCCAGCAACCGGACGAGTGGAAGCTCATCGGGGATCGCAACGGCTTGCAGCTCTATCGAGAGCGCGGTTTTGCCAAGGGCAACGCTGTCAAAGTGAACGTGCTGGGTCAGATGGCCGGCACACTGGAAGACATGCTGTTAGGTCTTTACGCCACGACCAACGGTGCACTGAAAACGCAACACTTAATTATGCACAATGATTATCTGGACGCAGCTGTGCTACATGTTTTTAATGAGGATCCGCACAGTGAGGACGACACAGGCTTCTCATACCAGTCTGCCGGCCTCAAATGGCTCGCGTGCGCCCCCACGGGCAAGCTGGTGCACAAGCGAGATCTGTGCTGGCATGAGGAGCTCGGACGCACGCAAGACGCCAATGGGGATGAAGTGGGGTATCTGGTCATGCAGTCGGTGAGGGTAGAGGAGTGTCCTCCTTTTGAGCAGCAAGGTTTGACGCGGTCGTCGGCCGCGGTGTGCTACATCTTTCGCCCACTCCCAAACAATCGAGTGGCGGTCTACATGAAGGGACAACATGCGGTAGGTGGCAAATCGAGAAGTTGGAGTGCAGACGCGATCATGGCCGAGTTGTGGCTGGGCGTTGCAAGCGCGCTAGAGTGTACCAAGTCCAAGCGACTGTCGAAACTCGTGAGTGGCAAGGAGATGTTCATCACCAGTGCACAGTACGTTCTTGGTACACTGTTTCTTTGAGATATTGAATGTGGTGCTTACTATTTGTATTGACAGAAGCAAGACGTGCGATATCTGTGACTCAAAGTTGAAGATGCTTAAAACAAACCAGAGCTGCAAGATTTGCAGTAAGAATGTATGCGACCGCTGTCGCATGACCAAGATGATCTATCCGTCCCGCAACACGGGTAACTTTCCCTGTAGTTACTTCTTCTGCAAGCCATGCTTGAGTGACGCGAAGGAAAAGCTTTACGGACGCTTTGCAACGAGGATCAGCTACCACTCCGAGGATTCATCAGGACGATCTGGATCAAACAGGTCTGGGTCGCCAAGATACGCTCGGGCTTCATCGACAGGACCGCAAGGGCTCTCTAAAGTGTCGTCATCGTCTGACCCCAGTCCTGGACAGCGCCAACGGGTGCTATCTCATGATCAAGCTGGATCAGCGTCCTACCGGGGACGTAGACCTCAGCAGCTGAGCCCACGCTCTAGCTCTACCAGCTACTCTAGTGCTCGCGCTACTACGTCATCGGATCCGTCAATGTCAAGTAACAGAGGTTTCAGCCGCATTAACGACAGTCTCAGTAGCGCCAGTGGTGTTCAAACGATGCGAGTATACCAGCCCCCGGGTGGCCTATCAGGTCGCTCAGTGGATAACCGTACAGCTGCCGGTCTGCCGAGGGTTCAGCGTACAACAAGTGACTCGCAGCGCCGCAACACCGCGTCAGGAGCTAACAGTAATAGTCGTATGCCATCTCAGCGCGTTGTGGCTCTTCCAAGCAGTCAGCCGTCAAACGGCAACAGATACATGGTGAGCGAGTCACTTGACAGTACTTACGACGTCGAAGGAAACCAAACATATCGCGGCCGCGGATACATAAGCGATGATAGCGATATGAGTGAGGAGTCTACCACCGATGAAGAGGGGGTGCCGGTCACAAGCTACAGGAGCCATCGCCAACAGGTCGTCAACATTTACGACGCTGATGAAGGCGGTGTGATCGAGATGACTTGTCCTTCGGTGTCTGGTAGCGATTCGTCGACTGAACTCGAACCTGTGAACGTCTTCGAGAAGGACAAACTGAAGTACATCAACTCTTTCCGCACCGACGACGGAGGATCTACCGGTTCAGTTGGCGGTACAACGACATCTTCAAATAGCTCAACCGAGCAGGAGAATCTCATGAAACGACTCATGCAGATCAATGGCGGCAGAAGCAACGTACCTGATGACCAAGTACAATTCCAATATCCACGCAAAGAATTTCTAGATAGGTGTACGTATAATAGATGTCGAGACAACGAAAGGGTATTATCTCATGCCTATTCTCTGTAGCCCACTCAGTTCAGTCCGCAATCTTTTTGCCGAGACGCCTCAAATGCGCCATTTGACGGCGATACTCCATGATCGGAACCGCTGGACTTCCACCTACAGTCAAGCATCAGTCAGGCACGCACCCCCTTTCCCCAACGGCACAGTCTAAACGATGCACCATAAGTGGCATTCGGCTCGAGGTCATTCATGACGCCGCTCTTTGCAGCGATCCGGACGTTGTCTCCAATCTTCAAATGCTGCGCCACGCCCACCTGTCCGCCAATGTGCACGTTGTTGCCCAGCGTTGTACTGCCGGCAATGCCCGTCTGCGCTGCGATGACGCAGCCCGTTCCAAGCTGCACGTTGTGACCAATTTGGATCTAATCTCATGTACACAAGCCATCGTCAGACGTCCAAATTGAAGGAACCCATAGGAGCTTCTCCTGACCAGGTTGTCGAGTTTGCAGCCTTTGCCGACCACCGTGTTGCGCCAACTTCCTCGGTCAACCGTTGAGTTTGCACTGTAGTTGACAGCAAAAAGAGATGTCAGCTCGCTGAATTGGACGCTTTCACCGAGAGCAAGCCGCACCCGATCTCGACGTGATCGTGGATCTCCACCCGCAGCTCCTGGGGCTTCTTGGCGTGCTTGCCACTAGTATCTAGCATGAATCCGAATCCGTCCTGGCCGATTCGAACTCCCGGATGAACGACCACATGGTTTCCAATCGTGCAGTTCTGCAGCGTCACATTGGCGCCGATTGTGGTGCTGTCTCCAATGAATACATCCTCCCCGACAATGCTAAACTCGCCAATGCGGCTGCTTTTACCGATCTAATGGCCAGAGTTATGCACAGTATACAATGAAGAGTCCTGGTAAGTTACCACTATAAGAACTGATGGAGTCGCACAAAAGCCATTGAAAACCTTAGCGGAAGGATGGACGACCGAAGTGGGAAATGTTTTGCTGCCATTTGACGATGATTCAGAGAATGATCGGCCTGATTCCGACGCAAGCTTCAACCGAATGATGCCTGCATTTCCTCTGGAGCGCAGATCATGCGGCAGTAAGGTTCTACCGGGACCGCAGCGGGTAGCAATCGGCACGCGCGTACATGTAGCTCTCATAGCACTGAACAATCGTGTTTGGAGACTTCACGGTATACGTTGTATACCTGTCACCAAGAAAGTATACAAAACAAGATGGCTACAGTTGAATATCGCTCTAGGCAGGCAACCAGGACAGGACTCCCACTCTGGTCTGGAGACCGCGCAGGCGTCCAACTTGGACTCCAAGGTCTCCTCCCTCGGAAACTTCCCAGACTTCCCAGCAGTGTCAGGGCTGGGCCAGCACTGACACTCAATATGCTACGGAGCTGCGTCCCCAAATGAGTTGAGCTGCGCAGAGGTCTTCACTCGTCACAAACGAAATTTCAGTCTTACAGATAAGGTGTGCTTCTCTCGCTCCACGATGGCGTCCAAGATGTTGAAGCTCTTCTCTCCACTCACCCTCGGCGGCAAGAAGAACCCCGTGCAACTGCAACACCGAGTGATCATGGCGCCGCTTACAAGGCTGCGCACGGATGAGAGTGGAGCCCCTACGGACCTTGTCACTGAGTACTACGCTCAACGCAGCACGCCCGGCGGCCTTTTGATTGCTGAAGCGACCAACATCAGCCCCACGGCTCGCGGCTACTTCGGGTCCCCCGGTCTGTACACCCGAGAACAAATCGACGGCTGGAAGAAGGTCACGCGTGCTGTGCACGAGAGGGAGGGCAAGATCTTCGTGCAGATCTGGCATTCCGGACGGGTCGGCCACACTTTGAACCAGCCGAACGGGGAACAACCAGTTTCGTCGTCGACGATCCCTCTTGTGGACGTCAATAGTGTCGCTGTGACGCGTGAAGGCAGACAGCCGTATAGTGTCCCCCGTGCTTTGGAGACCCACGAGATTCCGGGCATTGTGGCGGACTACAAGCGCGCCGCTGAGTACGCCATGGAAGCAGGCTTCGACGGCGTCGAGCTGCACGGCGCGAACGGCTATTTGCTGGAGCAGTTCCTATGCGACAACGTCAACAATCGCACTGATGGATACGGCGGCAGCGTCGAGAACCGCGCCAGACTGACGCTCGAGGCGGTCGAAGGTGTTCTCTCCAGTTTGGACTCGAGTCGAGTGGCCATTCGAGTGTCTCCGTTCGGAAACACGTTCGGTTGCACGGACTCGACTCCTGAGGAAACGTACAGCTATCTCATCAAGAAACTGAGTCCGCTTGACTTGGCGTATCTGCATGTTGTGGAGCCTCGTGGTCTGCACCCGACGGCGCAGAATGTGCCCGAAGGTGGCACTACCAAGTTCAGCCGCGATCTGTATAACGGCGTGCTCATGACGTCGTCCGGGTACAATCGCACGGAAGGGATCGAAGTCACGGAGAGCGGATTGGCAGACTGCGTCTCCTACGGTCGCTCGTTCATCGCCAACCCGGACCTGGTGCACCGTCTTGAGGTTAATGCCTCGTGGAACGAATGGGACTTCACGACGTTCTACCCGTCGCCCGACGTGCCTATGTCTGCAGGCTACACGGACTACCCCGCGCTTGAAGTGAAGGTCTAGAGCTTAATCACTGAAATGTTGTCGTTTAGGCCAAACGGTTTTGCTAAGTGTACCGGCACTGTAATGACCACTGTAACAGACCGCGAGGAAGCAAATTTTGTTTGAGTCCAACAAACTTTGAAAGTTTACGTGCACTGTACTTGAATTATTAAGTGCACATAACACGTTGACGTGAACAAGTTTCATTTGGATGTGATGTCACTTTTCAAATTGCAGCCGTACACTGAAGTGACCTCCTTCGAAAACCCATGTCGACACCCAAACTCTTCTCTCCGTTGACACTTGGGGGCGATAACCCGGTGCGGTTACAGCACCGAGTGGTAATGGCGCCGCTCACGAGACTGAGGACAGGGGAGACCGGCGTCCCGACCGACCTCGTGGCTGAATACTACGCGCAGCGCAGCACGCCCGGCGGTCTGATTATTGCTGAAGCCACCAACATCAGCCCCACGGCACGCGGCTATTTCGGTGCCCCTGGCTTGTTCACTTCTGAGCAGGTCGAGAGCTGGAAGAAGGTTACGCGTGCAGTTCACGCCAAAGGGGGCAAGATCTTCGTGCAGCTCTGGCATACCGGACGGGTGGGTCACCCGTTAAACCAGCCGAACGGCGTGTTGCCAGTTTCGTCGTCCGCAGTTGGACTTGAAGGTGTCAACACCTCCGCAGTGACCCGGGAGGGCAGACGCAAATACGTCACGCCGCGCGCTCTGGAGACTCGCGAGATCTTAGGTGTTATCGCTGACTACAAACGCGCTGCTGAGAATGCCATCGCCGCCGGATTCGACGGCGTCGAGCTGCATGGTGCCAACGGCTACTTGCTCGAGCAATTCCTATGCGATGGCGTGAACAAGCGCTCGGACAAATATGGCGGCGGCATCGAGAACCGTGCTAGACTGATGTTTGAGGCGCTCGACGCTGTGCTCTCCAGCTTGAAATCGAGTCAGGTGGCCATCCGCTTGTCGCCGTTCGGCGTCACTTTCGGATGCACGGACTCGACTCCTGCGGAGACCTACGCTTACGTCCTCAAGAAGCTGAACGCACTGAACCTGGCATATGTGCACATTGTGGAGCCGCGCGGCTTCCACTTCAGGGGACCTCACGTGCCGAAAGACGGCACAACGCCATTCTGCCGATCGCTGTACCACGGCGTGCTCATGACGTCGTCTGCGTTCAACCGCGCGGAAGGAATCAAGATTACAGAGGACGGCATGGCAGACTGTGTGGCATACGGCCGTCCATTCATCTCTAATCCGGACTTCGTGAAGCGTCTGAAGGCTGGATCGCCCTGGAACCCCTGGGACCGCAAGACGTTCTACATGCCCGCAAAAGGTCCGTTGTCACTCGGCTATACGGACTACCCGGCATTCGAGCAGAAGTCTGCACTATAAAGGCGATGAAAGTTTTACTGCTCCGCCGCACCCATAACAAATAAGAATCGGAATCAATTGAACAACCAGCCGACTGCTAATAAATTTCAATACGTCGACCACAATTTGCATCACTTCAACCAGATCAACAGTAAAAAACCACCACCGGTCCAACCGTGAGTGTCGAAATGATATCGCCACGTTCGACGCCGCACTCGACGTCGTCAACGTACTCGACAAAGCATTCACGATTTTCCTGGATAGCGAAAGCTTCGCTGCAAAACGCAAACGACGCGATCTCGACAGTGGTGCTTGTCAGGCACTGCTCAGTCATGTGACGGAGGTACTGTAGACAACCAACCCGTCGTCTGCCATCTTGACGAAATCTTATCAGAATCGGAGACGGTACTGTATTAAGAATAATAACCTTTAAGATTGAGTATTATACAGTCATCTTCGAGCAGCATGATGAACGTGGTGCCGCCGCAGTGGCGCGACCCAATGCAGTGGGGCTTCATGTGCGCCGCGTCGTTCGTGCGGGCCATCAGCTGCTTCATGCGCTATGCGGGCACCTTCTGCGTAGCCATTGGTATGACTCTGATCTTCCTGGTGGGCGGACTCTTCATGCACGCCATCATCCCAATTATGGCGGAATCTACTGTGCAGGTAGAACCAGAAAAAATACGTAGAACGGAGGGTGGACTGATGAATTCTAACGTATTCCAGTTGGTATGTCATTTGATAATTGCCATGGTGCTGCTTTTCAATATCTACTTTAACTACGCACTGTGCTGCGCGACGGACCCGGTAAGGCGACACCTGTTCCTATCAATCGATGGCATTCTTCTTATTTAGCTATTGTGTTCTAGGGAATTATTACGGCCAAGTGGAAATCAGCGGCGGAAATTTACGATGCCGCAGTGGACGACCCCAGTGACGATGAAGAAGACGAAGAGGGCGTCGAACTAGAGCAAGGAGATTCGGACGGCAGCGAACTCGAGACAGGTCGCCTTCCGCGAATACGACCCAGCGCTGTCACTCCAGACGGAAAGAATGGGAGCAGCTGGGTACAGCTGCCACGCGTGCAGCTTATTGATCCACAGAGTGTCGCGAGACAACGTGGAGTTGAGGAAGGCATTTCGTACTGCAGAAGATGCCGACACTTTCGACCGCGACGCGCACACCACTGCTCGGTGTGCAATAGATGCATTGCGCACTTGGACCACCACTGTCCATGGGTGAATAACTGCATCGGACGGGACAATTATCGGGTATGCGGAGTTGCTGGTGTCGCTGGTGTCGTTGAGGCGGCAGTGCTAACGTGGAGTCTGTCCTGTGGTCGCGTTATGATGTTAATGCAGTATTTCTTTTCGTTCCTGCTGTGGCTAGCCGTGGGGTGCTACTACGCTGCCTACATGAGCTATAGGGCAGTCTACACTGATCTCAGTCGCGAACAATACGCTCGAGTAAGTTGGATGGACTGTGTACTGAAGATAAAACGTCACATTTTGCCTTGTATTTGCTTGCTGCAGATGCTTGTGCTTGCCCAAGTGAGGTCTTTCAACATCTCGGCGTCGAACACGCTGCAGTTCGTTTTTGCGATCTCTGCGTCCGCAGGCCTGGCTGTATCAATTCTTGCAACGTGGCATGTCTTCCTCATCACCACCGCACAGGTACATGTACCAAGCTGGGGCTGTCGTGGTCTTCGTAGACAATAATTTTATCCGAGTTCGTTTTGTTGCTAGACCTCAGTGGAGCTGCAGATCAATCGCCATCCGCGCAACCGGCGTCTTCATGGCGGAAAAGTGGTCAGTCCGTATTCGACTGGCAGCGTCCACGGCAACTGGGAACTTGTGTTCGGCAGGTGCAAGTACAAGGTTTTATCTCTCATGCCGAGTACGCGGTTGCCTCCGAATCCTCGAACGCTCAACAAGAAGAAGAAAAGAGCCATCAGCGAAGACGTCGAGTTGGTCAACGCAGGTTCATTGGACGCCATAGTATAAGCACTAACACCCTTGATTGAAGAGGAAGGTTACAATCTACGGCTTAGTAGTGCGAGTGAACGTGTAGATGCAGTATACGTCGCTCATCTCGTTAAAGTGCAGAGCGAACAGTTCAGCCGCAGCGTCATCGCCTACCAAAGGGTTCGTCTTGTAATCATCAGGGACCTCCTCCACCGCACACGTGAAGCCACGCGTCTCCATCGCTTCCTTGAACTCCACCAGCGAGTGTCGTGCCTGGGAAGCAACGTGTACAAACCGTCCTTCAGCAGCCAGCATACCGTCCACCACATTTACAAGCACTGGCACAATTTCCTGATGGTACACGAGATCCGAGCCGAAGAGCACGTCGAACTTGTCGTCATCGCAGCTGACAGGCCACGTCTCACGCTGAGCCCAGTCAATAGCCTCGACCTGAATAACCCCGTCCTCACTAACCTTACTCTGCTTCAAAGCTTCGGCCTGCTCGCGCTGGGCACGGATAGCCTTGCAATCAGTTTTGTGCTTCTTCCACGCCTTCTTCTGACACTCACGAGAGCAGTAAGCCACGGACCTGCAGCCCCCGCACGTCATGAGTTTGCCCTCGGGGTTATCTGGAGTAAAGCGCTGAACAGCACCACATCGACCGCAACAGTCAAGGATGGGAACTTCCTGCTTCTCCTCTCCAACGTCAGTCTTCTTGTCGGCCTTGTTCAGCTCCACATTGTGCTCTAAGTTCTGGATAGTGTGCGCGAACAGATCGGACAGCACCACACGCGCAGCATTCGTGTACTTGTGCACCGCCAGACCACTGACACCGCAGCCCGACCCAAGTTCGCAGACCTGTTTGCCCTAAAAAATGTCTCGGTGATCGATGACCCAACGACTCAGGATAAGCGCCGCCGACCAGATGGACACGCCCGTGATGTCTTCCTCTGCAGTCGATCCGAACGCGTCCCTGCTCCATTCCAGGGCCAGCTCTCTAGCGAGTACAGTCGGTAGCCCCGGGGCGAAGTCGAACTCAAGTACGGTCTCCTGTAGAACCTTGGGCGTGTTGCTGTCGGCCTCGTCTCCTTCCTCCTCGACCTCCTCCTTGATCGCGTCCTTGCCCATTCCTGTGCCTTCAGCCAGACGCTCCTCTGTCGCCGAGCTGTGCTCTAACAGCATCGCCACTGCGGTTTATACGCAGTGTAAGGATCTGCAATTACAGTCTCAACCCATAAAAACCACGTACAGATCTCCGTGTCTTCGCATTGGAAGGCTTCGGTGACGCAACCACGACCGAAACTATTGCGGGCCAGCACGTCCAAGTCCTTGACTCCATCCACGAGCAGCTTGACGATCTCTCGGTGCTTGTTTTGCACTGCCCAATCTACCACACAGCACAAAAAATAATATCAATGAGCAGTTCACTGTCATGATATTTCCGGTTCATCTTCCGTACGCAGTGGCAGATTTCCGTTGGCGTTCGGCACGTGCTTGGCTCCGTTGTTCAGTAGCTCGCGAACGCACTCAATGTGGCCATTCGCACACGCTGTTGTTAATAAAACCCAATTAATCAATTGCAACGTTAGCTCTAAAAAACGTGATCCTATTGACACAAGTGACGCACCCATGTGAAGTGGCGTATTGAGCGTCCCCGGTTGCACGAAGTTGATAAATTCATCGCTCTCGTCGCCTTCCACTGATTGTATTAACGTTCTGAGCTCCTGTTCGTCTCCAAAGCGCGCGCACTTAAGCACTTCCTCCGCCATCGTCGACGACTATTAGTCGTATTGTACTCAAGCCATTCGTCGGGAGAACGACTTTCGGCCAATTAAAAAGTTGGTCCTTGGTTTAGTGACCTCTGATTTCCTGGTCATAAAGACGGACATACGGTGTTTTGAAAGACTTTGAAGGTATTTTCATGTAATGGACAGCTTCTCAGTAGAATCTTACATCAGCGCTGCAGCAATAGGCCCCGTAGATCGAGCGACGACTCAGACAGTTCAAGTGAAGAAGCAAGCTCGAGTCAAACAGCAACTGGAAAAATTCTCCGTAAATTAGTTCCACTTGAAAACAACGCTTTTCAAATGGAGCTCACACTGAGGGCTGCCCTGCTTCTGTCTAGCTGGACCGTGAGTTATACGTTCAAGCTTGAACCTATTTCGTTAGAGCGAATTTATACGCTATTATAGAGACAAAGCTTTGCGAGCTCGAACAATTACAAGCGACATGGGAAAGTATATCATCAACAAGCAACAAGGAAATGGTGCACATGGACGCAATCTCGAACAGCAACGAGCTAGTCATCGACGGTCAGATTCAGTGGATTTTGGTTGAGACAAATGGGTTCGAGCTGTCTGAAGATAAAACCGAGATACGCTGTCTAAAGGCTGGATGGTATTAATACATCCTAAGTCTTGCGGTATTCTTGACACCCAAGACAGCCAACGCCACTGTTGAGCTACAAGTGAACGGCACAAGCATTCGACGTGATCGAGCGACTCTCGCTAATCATCCCAGCAGTATTTCTTGTGTCCGTAGCTCGTACCTGAAGGCGGGTGCTGTGTTGAAAGTAGTCGTGCCGAGCTCTCAAGACGTCGGAGCTGCTCTCACTGCAGCAAAAATCATGGGGTAAATCTTGGTCGCTGGTACACCGGCAACGAACCGTTCGTCTACATATAGTTTTTTTTTCACATGTTCGCATGTTCTCAGTCTTTTGCGTGTCTGTTACTTCTCGCACAAAACTAAGAAGTACAATTTTCGGCGTTACTTGGCTTCTCAAGAAGAATGTACCTTACAAGTTAGCTATGAACGAACTACTGACTGATGACAAAGTTAAGAAATGTCGGTGCTTGACGCTGGCAGCAGTTTTTGATGGTGGTTGGCCTCAAACTCAGCCAACCACGCAGCTAGACGTGTAACTTGGTAGGTAGTTTCTGTCGTGGCCTGGTCATCGAAACGGATATCTTTAAACACCTTGAGATTTCGAGCTTCAAATTTCGCTAGCCACTCGATCAACTTCGGCTGTATCGCCACATCAGTTCCGGTAGCTGACCAAAGTGCTCTCTCCGCGTAGTGCCCAACATCCACGGCGTCAACGTCTTCCAGCTGCATTTTGCACGTGGCTTCGAGCTCCTGCAAAGTCACCGATTGCCAAGGGCTACCGTTCAACTCGCTTATGTCCGGGTCAGATTCAAGTCGCGTGTCGGCTTGGTCACATGTGTCTGCTGCCTGTGTATCCGGTCTTGAGCATCTGCTCAATAACAAGCAGAAAACACAGCGCAGTGCTAGGAGAACCGTACACGATGTCGTTGCAGTCGCTTTCTCCGTCATGATCTTTCTCTCTCGACTACTGAAGGAAGGAAACACAACGTGGTCTGCTCGGTTGGGATGAACTTTCTATTGGATTGGCAATTGAAATGGTCGCATCGAAGAAAGTCTTACTTTTGTTTATTGTATTTGACGTCATGGCCTTTTTTCTCTATCTGCAGTTCCGGATCCACAACTTAACCCTGGAATGAAGTGTCGTGTCCTCACCACTAGCTTTCTCTTCCATGTCCTCGCCGCCAGCTTTCTCGCTCTCAGGTTCGTCTTCGAATCGGTCAATGTCCGCTTCGCTGAACCGGTGCCGGATAGGCAAGGAAGCTTTGAGCGAAGCATCGGTGCGGGTCGAAACCTCAATCATAGATTTACGGAGTTGGTCGATTGCCCGCCGAGTCGAGTCGCCCACATTGAGTTGCTTCGTCAGAGCTGAGCCCGCCCCGACGACACTGGATGACAGCGATGTAAGACGCGAGCCCCAACGTGAAGCGGATGGGAGATGCCTTTTGTCTGGGCACGACTTTCGCCAACGCGAAGTCGAATCTCTATCTTGGCCATTCCAGTCGTCAGCTAAGTCAAAGTCGAAGTCGTCGTGGCCAGCGGCGAGAATGGATGGATTGTCTCGCCGACCGTAGTACCCGGATGCCTGTGAGAATGTAGGTGCCATCGTTGCTCGGAGTCTGCAAATCGGAAAGTGAGAGCCCTTCGAGAGCTCATGATGCTGCTCATATGCGAAGCGAGGAATGTGGTGCCCACGAGAAGCCAAACGGTTGAAAAAAATCAGCAGCGACAGTAACGCAGCATGTGATGGAACACCAACAGTCTGCGGTGCACAATATCCTTGGCTCGGTGAGACCGACAGAAGATCAGCGGCGCCAACTTTGGAGTGGAAGGGAACGAGTTCACTACGAGGATGTCGACGCGCTGTTGGTGCAGTTTTGGCCGCTTCCTTATTGAGGACTTGAGGTCTCATGTTGAGGCTCACCGTGTTGACTTGACGTTGATCGACCTGAGATCGAGAGCACCGTTCTAAGATCGTGCTGCGTTGGCTGAAAAAACTGAGGTTGTCTCCGAAAAACTGAGGTTGTCCGCGGATCGTCTGCTGCACCAGTCGTCCGTCGTGAAGCATTGAAGGTCTCATCGGTGAGACTCTCACCGAGTCGGTGACACCGACAAAGCCGCTGTACTGGCAGAACTGGCAGTACTACTGCAGTGCATGGGCATGAAGCAGCGGCACACGTGCATTGTAGGCGACATTGAACATTGGGCCAGAAATTGTAACACAGACTGTAAAAAGTCTAATAATTGTCTGTTTGATATAAATAAAAGTGCTATATAACTTAGTGTCTTGAGAGGGCGGTAGAACTCATCAATTAGCCAGAAGCATCCTTTAAGGTCAGCGAAAATGTCCGGCAAGCCCCAGGAGAGAAGCGGATGATTGTGAACAGCTACGAGTATTTCAAAAGCCAGAAGGAACAAGGCCTCTTCAAAGGCATCAGGACACGCCAACTGGTCTCTGATTGCGTTGGTTGTGGTCCCAATACCGTTGACTCCGTGGTTAATGAGAAAAAGAATAACCCAGACACTGATTTTGAGGTATATCAATTATAACTGATAATTGTAGCATTTCCTTTTTAAACTAATATTTGTACAAAGCCCAGTGAAAACGACAGAGGTCGAAAGCGAGATTATGACCTGACGGATCCTTTATAATTGTTTTCACCATCCTGCTGGCAGAATTGAATGCTAAATCGACAAGGGCAATCTGCGACCGGGCGATGTGTCATCTTCCTTTTTGACATATGATTTGATTCTAGACCAATCATATCTGTGAATTTGGCGCGCCTTTCCCCCGAAAATGACAGTGTTCTGAGAAAGCATTTTTAAACGACTAAAACGGCTGGGAATTGGCTAAAAATTACCACAAAATCGAAATCTAAACGCATGATTGCACCCTATATCTAAATGTCGATATAGGTTTTCCTAAATGTAGACCTCTTATGCCTCTCTAGATTCTGGCCCAATGTTCAATGTCGCCTACAATAGCTGTTCTTGCATGACCATCCGTACTTCAATCATTCAAGGTGAGTATCTTGGCCGTTTCTAGCAAAGTCAAAGTCAACGCGGCGCACTGCAAAGATCGAATGATAACCGAGGCTCTCGGTCCGAGAGGAGGTATCGGTACGTACGGCAAGTTGCCTGGGGTCGCCCATGTAGCGACAAAGTGATCTACCTGCAAAAGGTATTATTTTATCCCTGCCAACGAATCGAATCGTGGCAGACAACGTTGACCAGAGACTTTCGCACGGTATTCATATTATGGGGGCTAGAACAAGTGCCGACGGGGTCCTAAAACTCAAAAAGCTCCTAGCTACTAATGCTGGTCGGCTGGCAGCAAAGGTTCCACAATTGAAAGGCTGGTGCCGAGTGAAATAAGAAACAGGCAGAAACCAGCCAAGAAGAGGCCAATGAAAGGATTCCTGTTGCTTTTGCTGCTTTGCGTCGCTTGCTGCTGTGCTACCGCCCAAAGGCGTGAGCGCGACTCTGCTATCGCCAACTTCCTCAAAGCGCGAGCTGGCTGGCAGACCATGTGCCTCTACACCTTCGACGATCCTGCCATCAGCAATGGATCTGCCGTAATGAATCGCGTTCCTGGCGATGCTTGTCCCTTTGATGCTCTCCAGCCAGACAACGATCTCGTGACGAGCTTGAACACGGCTTCTTCATTCTGGCAGCTTGGAGTCCACCTGGCTGAGGATCCCAACAACGACACCAAGCGGGTACAGCTTTCGTCGATCAGCTCCGTCTCCGCACGAGACTTTTTTACGATGGCAGCCGTCAGGAACAGCACTAGAAATGACGGTGGTGTGACGTTCGAGATGGTGATTCGACGTCGAGCGATGACCAACCACAGCATGACGCTGTTCTCCATCGCTAACGAATACGACAACTGCGTGGACGCCGGGTTTCGCCTGGATGTAAACGAGCATCAAGTGCTGAGCTTTATCTACTTTCTGCCTGTACTGGAGGAGGGTGGCGAAGCGGGAGTGGAGGCCTGTTACGAGCAGCGACTGTTTTCTGTGGACAACTCAGCAGCTTGTCAGCTTCCACCCTTACTTGAGCCGATGGAGCGAACTCCGCCCGTACACGTCACTGTCACGTTAGACCCATTGAGCGCACGGGGTCTATGGAAAACCGACTTCTACATGAGCTATACGAACGTCGAGACAATGCAGAGAGTTGACTGCGAAGTGCACGACGAGCAGCATCCCCCCAGCACTCAGGTACTTGGCAACCTTATTGAAGGTCGATACAGATTGTACTTGGGCAATAGCCCTCGCAACGTAACTTTTCCACGGCGACGCAAGCATTTGGCTCCAGCACGAGTAGTCCAGCCGGTTGGACATATGAGCAACCTGAACGCTACAGAGCGACTTCGTCTACTATTGAGGCAGAAACTGATGAGCATCGATGGACCGCGGTTGCCCAAGGCAATGCGGATTTTCGGTGATAACTCTGTCTCGCTGCAAATTCTAGGAGTCACATTTCCACCTCTGGATGAGGACACACCTCTAGCTTATCTCCGCAGCAAGTTTGCCGATTTCAAGGAGCAGTACGGCGATCAGATTGTCGATTATTTGGTCAACTCGGTGCAGCAAAAATCAAGAGGACCCGTCGTTACACAGCAATCCCAGTCTTCAAGCGGCCAAAGTAGCGGTGGGAGTGGCGAATTCTCCAGAGCCAAGCTCTTCCAAGGCGCAGATGGTGCGACTTTCGATCTTTTCCACTTCGCCATTTATCGCCGCGTGGTGTCGGATGAGCACGTGAATTCCATCTCAAGACAACAGTTATTGCCGACTCGCCAATTCTCATCTCTGCATCAAACTGTGCGGATTCCGGAAGACTCAATTGTACTGTTGAACCTCACGATGCTTGATGGAGTTTTCAATAATTTGCGTCTCGAGTTGAGGGGCATTCCAGAATTTGGACAACTTCTCCTGTTTCCTAACAAAACCGTAGTGACTTTGGATAATATGGATACATTTCGAAAACTCCCATTGGAATACCAACGCAGTATATTTTTCCGCCCGAAGCGTGATCAGAACAACGAGAACATCCCACTTCCAAACCCCGTGGCGTTCTCTCGGAGATTGGAGCCATACGCAACGGTCAGATTTGGAATCGCTGAAAGCTTGGCAGGACGGGTCGTAAACAAGAGTGCAGAAGCGAGGATCGACATCTTTGTGGACGCTGTGAACGACGCGCCACGTACCCAAACATGTGAAGTGGAAGTCCGCGTTGAGGTTGGTGTTCCTGTTGCATTGGATCTGAAAGGTGACGACATCGATGGAGCTCCCCTAAATGTAGAATCAAAGTCTGAAGCCACTGGTGCGAGTGATTTACTGTCCAGTTTCACGTTTTCCAACGAATCGACCGGTACCTCGAAGCTCCAGTTACTGAAAATTGTACGACTGCCTCAGTTCGGCAAGCTGTACGATTGCAAGACTAGTTGTGATCTGTTGCAAAGCCAAGATCTGGAATCATTTCGAGTTTACCGGAACAGCACGGAAATGGCAAAGGCGACTTATTCCACCAAGCTGACGTACATTTATCACGGATGGGGTCAAGACAATCTCGCGCAAAATGGAAGCACACCACTCGCAGTTGATGTGCTCTGGTACCAGTTGTCTGACGGGGATCCTGACGTGTTCTCTGATGTCGCTGTGGTGAAGTTTATTCTCTTTGATAAGATGAAATACCGGATGGAAGACAACGTAGTTGCCATCATTCGACTCAAGGAAGACTCGCTGCAGAAATTGAACCTCAGAACATTAGATCCGCTTGCAGCACTTTTCAACGCCAACACGGTCGTCAAAGTGACAACCCTCCCACAACATGGAACTCTTTTTCAGTTCAACCGCTACAAGAACAATGCAGCTAATTTGTCTCTTGAGAACATTGGAGCATGCGTCACGGTTCCTAACACGATCATTGCAGATCTTTGGAGTCGAGTTATCTACGTGCCCCAGCTCGATTACTTCAATCTGGACCCCCACGGTTCGTGGGGACGAGTATCTGGCGTCGATTACTTCGAGTACCAAGTATGGAATACATTTCCGGTGACCAACGACTCGCTTGCGGTGTATGAGAACTCACCCAGAGCACGCTTTATTAACAATAACGAAACGCGGAGGGTCGAGTTGGACGTCGTGAACGGAGCAGATGCTTTGGTTGTGCTTCCGCCATACGTATTCCCAGTAAATGTGTCGAATAGCGACGTAATTCCAACACCTGTAGTGTTCGAGGACCCCGACAGCATCAGTCTTGACGATGTGTACCAAGTGAACCTGGAAGCGGAAGACGGACTATCGGTGATTGAGTTGGGGGTTTCCATCACAGACGATGATGTTATGAGTGGATGCCCATTTGAGCGCCCGTGCTCGCTCAGTCGGAGCACAAGTGGAACTCCTTTGAACGTCACTTCTGGCAGCTCTCACGACGAGTTGTACTTCCACATCACGACGCAGCTATTTGACCCTGCGCATATCCAGGTGACGGGGACGAAGGCTGTGCTCGATGCAGCATTATCAGCTCTTACATTTCGCGATTTGTCTCGAGTCTCTCGCGACACCTCCCATACAGCAGAGTTTACAGTGTGGGTAAAGCGCGTCAATGCCAGTGATGATACTCAGCAAGCTCAAGCCACATTTACGATCAGCTTCACAACAGAAGATCTGAATGGCTCTCCAGCCAGCAATAATCTGGTTTCGGCGTTAAATTCGCAACTAGAGCGGTACATGTCGACGTTGCTGGTTCTGATCGCGGGGTGGCTGGTAGTATCGGGCGCTTCGTGTTTCTCTATTGGATTCTGCTGCTGCTGTTGCAGTCAAGCGCGTAAGAAGCGACGACAGAAGTTTGAGCAACAACAGCGGCTCTTCCAGGCACAAGTCGCTCAAAATGATTTCGAGTATTCAATATTGCTCAAGAGTCTTGCGGATCTACTGTTGGAGCCAAACTTGCTGGTCAGTCGATGCGTACTGGAGAGTTGTCTTTCTGGCAAAAGTAACCGGAAACAGACAGAAGCTTTGGCACAGGCGTTTATCTTACGGAGTCTAATGCCTTTGCTGGAGAGTGAACGACAAGGAACTCGGTTTGTCTTCCAACTCATGGCGATTGAATACTCCGAGGGCATAAGAGCATCAGCATCATCGAATTTTCAGCGTCATGGCTTTTTGACGCAGCATAGCACAGCGAGTAAGGCTCTTGCTGGCTTCTGTCGTGCCATTGGATCAAAGTGGATCTCCGAGTTGCTGGTGCCGAGTGATGATAGAAGTGCCTTCAACACAAAAGATACCGTCTCGGACCTTGGAAGATTTCTCGAAATACTTGCAGCGCACGTTGGGACGCTCCCCGTTGAAATCGTTATCCTCTGCCGCGCATGTGTCAGGATGGTTCAGAGAAATGAAAGCGATCAGAGTCGTCAGATGGAGCTAGACGCGGTGCATCTGGTCTTCTTCAGCCATTTTCTTGGCCCAGCTATGGTGTTTCCACGGGATGGCGCAATCAAGAAGCAGAACCGTTTTCGAGACATCGCTTACCAGATCGTACTATTCACTGATCAATGGAGCAGTGGCGACTACGACACAACTCATGAATTTCGATCTCGAAGCAGCAAAACTGACAGCTTGCTTGGAGAACTATCAGCGGAGTCACACTGCCGACTTAAATACGAAACTTTGTTGGGAACGATCTCCCAATCACCAGCAATCGAAAGCGAGTTTGACCCAAAAGAGGCTAAAGGAGACGTGGACTGCGAGCTCATGGGCATGTGCCTCATGAACATCCACAGTGTGCTCGACAGTTTTTTCCCCGAATTCAAGCGAAAAATAATCCAAACTCCAGCTGCAACGAACACTGAGCAGATTGAAAGCTTAATCGCCCGTGTGAGTCGACTTCTTAAGGCGCTTAGTTGTCCGCTTGCCAGCATCCAAGAGTTGATCGAGTGTGCACGACCAGAACTTCTAAATGACCCGTTGGTCTGGAACGGCTTCAGTTTCCAAGAATGGATGGATCGAGCACAAATGCCTGAGCAGCAACAGCCCACCACCTCCTACGGACAGTTTGGCAGTGAAAGAAACCAATCTCCTCTCGCGCACCATATCCACGACGACGAAGAGGCTATTCTGGACGAAGATGGCAGCTCTCCTCAAGATGTAGACTGGATCAAAAAGTGAGATTCAGGTAATTGCATTCCTCCTTCTCGAGGTACTTCGAAGTATGCTTTTGGACAGGACCGGTATTTTTGCTTTTCGTGTTAAAAAAAGCAAAGTCAGATTATAATACCTTAAAAATACCACTGTGATTAAAACAGCCCGGTTTATTTGAGATTAGTCGTGCATTCGAGCTTTCAAATCTGGGATATTACACCACCAGTTAAACACAGGTCTCGGCAATAGGGGTTGTCAATGTTCGCAGCAGCTAAACATTTATTTTTATGACTAAAATATTATTAGCCAATCAAACAGATGGACTATTGACCACCCCTGCAGCAGCTACCGTCTTACCCCGCATATAAGGCATATGTGCTATAAATAAATACAACACTGCTTGTGTGTTATATTTGTTTAGAAAGCCTATGTGCTGTACAGCGAACAAATTATTTGACTTTGAAGAATGGGTCCTAGAATCTTGCTTGGTCGTTGAGGCTTGACCCTCCTACGCGATCGGTTAGGGTTCAAACCCTCCTGCGTGCAGTTCACATGATGTGGTGATTGGTAACGGGTCTTCTCTTTCTGTTGTGGCTGCGTTGTATACGGAGGTTTTGCTTGTTAGTATTATGAATTCTATGAAAAAAAATCTTTTTATAAGAATCGTTTACATGTAATCACGTGTATTATACTTAAGTACTATGTATCCATCTACTTTCACTGCGAAATATGATCCGGAGCGAGCCAAGCACAGCGTTTTCAGAGGATTTTCAACCGTGTACGAGAATTTGGACACCAGCTTATTGTCCTTGTCAACAGTACTTACCTATAGCTACGTCGCTCAGCACTCATGGCTGTGTAAATTATAAAATAAGAGAATTAAAGCCAAGTAACAGCAGCACCGACAAGTTTGTTGAGAAGGGTGGTTAGTTGGAGCTCTCAAGAATATTCATTGGTTGGTACAGCCTTGTGTTGTAACTAGGTTTCAGCCACATGTGTTCTAATTAGGTAGGTGGTCAAATTGAGGTTTAAGCTAGATGTCGAGCGAATCCCGTATTTTATTTAGAGCACATATGCCTTATATGTGGGGTAAGACGGTAGTCGTATATTTTCTCCAAGATGCCGCGTCCAAGCGACCGTCAAGTCGCTCTACGAAAGCTAAAAATTGTTCTTCAAGTCAGAGAGGAGGCGGCTACACTTCGCTACTTATATGACGATGAAGATTTAAGTGAAGATGAGCCAGACATCCTGCATGCTGCTGCATACGAGCGAGTACTGGGCTCGCGATACTTTGATCGACCGTCGTCGTACCGTCGTCGTAACGATTGCTGGAAGCAATTGCTCTACGATACTACAGAGCTAAATTCGACGGAGTTTTTGGAGCACTTTCGGCTAGAACGCGAGGCATTCTTCAGACTCGTCGACCTGGTGAGACCACCCGGCTATGGTTTCTTCGGGCAATTGCCCGTTTCGCGGTGGAGTGCAGCTGCACATGCTTGTGCTGTTGAAATGCCTCGGTGCATTTGGCAATGATAACACGTGGTCAAAGCAGGCACACAATCTTGGTATCGGTAAAGGGACAAATGGAGACTACCTGCAGCGTGCGTCGGGCGCGTTGCTGACATTAGGCGCTAACACAGTTGCGTAACCAGACGAGCTAGAGCGCAGTCAAATATCGCGACGCATTTACCGTAAAAATGGGTTTGTAAATTGTATTGGTATGGTTGATGGCACGCTGTTGCGACCTGAATTGAAGCCATCAAAGAAGGTGAAGTATACAATTCGCGAGGAGGATTTTACGCAGTAAATGCTCTTATCGTCTGCGATGATGTGGCCAGGGTACGTCAATTTGTTGTGGGATGGCCGGGGTCAGTTCACGACAATAGAGTTTGGAGAAACAGCCCACCAAACCAGAACCAGCAAGCTTTCTTCCGCAACAAAGAGTACCTTCTTGGAGACTCAGCCTAGCTTCATGTGTGATGGTCCCGGCTTTCAAGAAGCCAGCAGGAGGAGCGATGAATCCTGTTCACGCCTATTTTACCAGCCAACTGGCTACTGCCAGGATTAAATCAGAGCATTGCATTGGGCTGCTTAAGACTAGGTTTCAATATCTGAATGGCATTCGGTCTCAATTGGCTAAGCGGCGACACTTACGCAGAATCATTCGATATGTATCTTGCACGTGCATTTTACACAATTTGCTCATTGCGGAACTAGCTCGTGAGGAGTGGGAAGATGGCACGCAACGGTACGGTGCGTCCTCGAGCGATCTTGATGCGTTTGACGAGCTGAACATGGCAATCGCTACTGACGCTGGAGGGAAGGATCGACGCAACCAGCTTCTGGCGTACCTGCTGGAGGTCCGGGGCTAAACGGAGCAACATGGGCGAGTGGAAGAACCGCGTCAATTTCATCTTGAGGAGCACCGTCAGCTTTACGTTTTTTTTCTCTCTCGAAGAAGAGTCACCAGACGCTGAGTACGCCAATGCTCAGCTTCTTCCTTGAGCTTCACTGTATTTGCATTAAGCTCGGTAATACGGGCCTCCGCTTCTTGCTCTTTCTTCTCCGATTGGTGCTGGCGGAACTGTAATCCCTGCCGTTGAATAGTTATTTTTTTCAACTCGATTTCTTTTTGCTGAACAAGCTCTTTTAGTGACACTAGCACTTGGTGATCCACGTTGGGTTTTCGTTTTTGTGGTGGATGTAGCAATTGAGCGAAGCCCTGCTTACCCGATTGACGATTTATCTGCCTCGTGCCCGAGCTACTGGCAGTAGTACCCGTACCCGTAGGCGTAGCCGCTCCTGTACCAAAAGTAGCTATTTCGCCCGGCGAACGAGAGTTACGCTCCGCTGCTCCTTGCGTCAGCTGACGGACGTCTTCCGAGTTTTGAATGTCGTTATCGCCGTCAGATGAGCTCTCACTGCCGTGATCACTGTAGGAAAATCCCTGGTCGGTGTTGAGGAGAAGAGGGTGAGTACTTGGACTATCATCCATTATGGGATGCAGCTCATAGAAACTAGAACACTTGTGTAGGATGGCGGCTCGTAGATCAGCTTCGTTCTCGACACCCTGGCCTGTGTTGCTCCGCCAGTCAGAGGCTTCTCGAAAACTAGTTTCTAACCCCGATATCTTATTCATAACATCTTTGGGAGCACGAGCAGTCTTCACACCACTGGCCGATATGGCCTCTACGACTTCGCCCGCCAAAGTTTGCTTTGTTTCACCACTTTGTCCTTCGCCGCCATGATACCGATCGTAATTGTTGCCGTCAGTCATCCACTTGATTAGCACACTAAGAGAGCTCACACTTGGATCTGGGCCGTCATTGGGCCACGGAAAACGCCTTTTTAAAGGAAGGGCAGCTGTTTCCAGCCGCACGGCCTTCAGAATGGCATTATAGCAGCGCTTTCCGCAGACAACCTTTTTGAATTGATCAACGCCAGAGAAAGAAGCTAGCATGTTTGTTAAACAAGCGCGGTGAATAGTGCTCGCACACCCGCTGTTGCTGCATGGAACAAAGCTTGAGTCTTCGTCCGTTATCTTTAACACACGGCGACACGATTTCCACTTGCAAGACGCCATGGCCTTTTAAAGATCTTTGGCAAAAAAAATTTCTAGCTGCTGACTGACCAGCCAAATATTTTTTCATACAATCAGGGACCTGAATAAAAAACTGACTAACAGTAAAAAAAGAAAAGGTTAATAGCTGCTGCCGACATTCCCCCCCCCTCACTTTCAAATCAGCTTTGCACCCAGTAGAGCCCCGCCTGTTTAGCACCAACAGTCGGCGTTTGAAAGATCTTCGTGCAAAGGTCGTGCCCAGTTTTGTCTTAAACTGAGTATAGCGACATCACCAGCAGCGACTTTTCGCAGCATGACGGCCCTGAAGGACCCGGGTAAGGCGAAGCCGCCGGACCTCGCGCCACGCCAGGCCGACGCCATGGTGGCGAACCCCAGTGGGCGGCAGCGGAGAGAGGTGACTGAGCAAGGGAGTAGTGCCTTCAGTCCAGACTCGATCATCCCAGAGACGCCGGCGTCGACGCAAGAGGACGATGCCGAGATGGAGGAGCCTAAGCCGGAGGAGCGGGATTCGGATCAGAAGACGACAACGGAGGAGTGCAGTGAACATGAGCGACCAGCTCCAGTGGCTACGAAGCCGCGCGCGAGTCCGGAGCCAAGCGAGAGCAAGCCGCTGCACGCGGACCCACCAGAAGGAGTCTCGGACGCCAGCCCCGGCGTGTCAACCGATGCACCTGCGGTGAAGCCGTTCGAAATGTTTGAAGCGGTCGTGGCGGAGATGAAAAGTTTCCCGGCAGAAACTGCTCGGACGGCTTGGACGTCGACAGTAGCGGAGCTATACGCGCTCGCCCATGCCAAAGTGCCAATTGACGAAAACCTCCTCCCGAGTGGCAAGCGGCGCTATCCGCGCCTCAAGGGGGACGAGAAGACATTACTGCTAAAGCTGTTTCGAGAGATTTGCGTTCACGGTACTGGGTCATTTGAAGAATGGGAGCGGTTTGCTCAAGCCGCAACCCAGGATCTCTACAACACGGCATGGCCGTTCAAATCGATAATGAACAGCATGATCAGCAAGGTAAAGTGGGCCAGGGCCAAGTCACTTAATCAGTGGGCGACCAAGGCGCGTGCAGGAACGGCTACGTCAGCAGCGGGAAAGGCATCGCCCGATGGGGACGGGCGGTACCAAGATTTTATGTTCAATCCCATGGTATTCCGCACAGCCGACATTGCAGCGCTGTAAAAAATCTGCGAGCGACCAGCAGCGGCGTCTGCGGGGCGGCAACTGCGACCAGAGGCGGACGA